CTGCCTGCATCCTGCAGATGGGGTGTTGCTTGTTTGTGCGGACCAGTTGCTGGCATGCCATAGCCTGGTACTGGTCCACGGACCGGGGGTTGGGGACCCCTGGCTTATAAAACTGCAGGCTCTTGTCAAGCAGTTGCCAACACTTGACTCAGGCACCTAATAATAATAGTCTGAGCAGCAGAAGTAAAGCATGTTTAATATAGATGGGATTCCTGTAAAGAGTTGCAAATTGGGAAGTTCAAAACAATCCTCAAGGGCATGGCAAGCCATTTCAGAACTGCTGCCAGGAAAACTGTACAGATGTATTAATGAGGTAACCAGGAGTCAAGTTTGAAGGGGAGTTTACAGTATTTTGAATAAATAGCACCTGTAGGCTCAGTTTGCTATTTTATTTTGTATGTGGCATATTTATAATGTATCTTTTAAGACAATGCGCCATGAAGCATAAATAAATAGAAAAGTAATGATAAAATTAAACAGTAATTGTTAGCCCTGTATAACAAGAGAAATATAATTCACTTATAAGTCAAGATGACTACTTAGATCCAGGTTTGAGAGATATCAACTGAAGCAGTTCCACCAGGGGCGAATCAATGCTGAAAAGTATTTTGCCAATCTATCACTTTTAAAGGTAGGAATCTGAGTAGCAGAGAGCCTGTTTGATGTAGTAGTTAAAGGTGCTGGATTAAAAGCTGGGAGACTGAGGTCTGCTTTAAGTACTAAAGCCAGCTGGGTTGGGTGACCTTAGGCCAGTCATTCTCTCAGCTCTAAGAAGGCAAAGATGTTGCCAAAAAGGTTGCATGGACTAGTCAAGACTGAGTTAAAGGTGCTCTCTCTCACACACACACCATCCCTCCCTTTCCCTCTCCCTTTCTCACACACACACGCACAAACACACACACAGCCTTATTGTGAATGTTAAATTTTCCGAGAATACAAATTATGGAGAACCAGCTTAGTGTAGTGGTTAAGGTACTGGCCTAGAAATCAGGAGACTGTGATTTCTAGTTCTGCTTTAGGCACGAAAGTGATTGATTTTGGGCCAGTTACTTACTCTAAGCCCAACTCACCTCACAGGATTGTAGTTGTGGGAAAAATAGGAGGAAGGCGTATGTTCTCTGCCTTGAGTTATCTATAAAGTAACAAAGGGAGGCTAAAAATCTAATAAAAAAAATTCTGGGGTTTCAATATTACATTGCAAGTACAGATAGTCCTTGACCTATGACTGCATTTTAGCCGCAAAATTTCTGTTGCTAAGTGAGAGTTGTTAAGTGAATTTTATCCCATTTTATAACCTTTCTTACCAGTGCTGTTAAGTGAATCACTACAGTTGTTGTTTGTAACATATTTGTTACGTGAACGTGGCTTCTCTATTGTCTTTGCTTATCAGAGGGTCACAAAAGATGATCACATCACCCCAGGACACTGCAATTTCAGAAATATGAGTCAATTGCCAAGGTTCTGAATTTTGGTCACACGAGGATGCTGCAATAGTCGTGTGAAAAATGGTCATAACTCACTTTTTAAAGTGCTATTATAACTTTGAACGGTCACTAAATGAACTTGAAAGTTGAGGATTACCTGTACTTCCATTGTCTAAGGCAAGAAACACTATCAGTTGAATAGATGTATAGGTAGTCCTGGACGTAATTTTGGTTATGAGTCATTGTGTTCATAAGTTGGTGCAGTCATAAGACAAGACCAGATCTGATTTTTCAAGCATTTTTATGGCAGTCATTAAGCAAGTTATATGGTCGTTAAGTGAATCTATTTTCCTAGGGGAAAGAAAACTGAAAATCAGCAAAAAAAATATTTCAGGTCACAGTAACATAACTGTGAGATGCTGCAACTGGTTGTAAATGGGAGCCAGTTCCCAAGTGCCCAAAATGCAGTCATGTGACCACAGTGGGGGCAGTTTTATATTGGCCAGAAATGGTTTATGGGCCCTAACACACCCTTTCTGAGGTATCATAATTTAAATAGTCATTAAATGACCAGTCATAAGTCAAAGACTACCTGTCTATCAAGAGGATATGTGTAAGGATTTATTTATTTATTTATTTTCTGTTTTAAAGCAGAATAGATTTTTTTTTTCAAGTATTAGGTAGCAAATTAATTAAAAATGCAGATATAAACATATAGAGATATAAATGAGCAATGCCCATTGTCTATTTGATGGAGAGAGTTAATAATTCTCCATAACCACAACAATAATCATAGGGAGAGTTCATAATTCTCCATAATCATAGCAGCATGGTGAGAGCTAGTTTGGAACAACACTGGATCATAAAAGAGCCTTTAGGCCCTAGCAGAGAAGTGACCAGCCATTAAAGATTTCTTTTTTGTCCCCCACTTCCTCCCTTAGATTTCACATCTTTGTATTCTGAGCCTGCTGCAGCTCTTAATGCTGTGCCAGTAGCTTTACTTTCAGCCAGTTCCTTCATAGTACACCACATACCATTTTTCTTGTTTCGCTTGTTAAGAGGCTGCTGGGCAATAGGAAGGCTGACTCACAAGAAGAACGAGGATTGGTAAATGCAAGCTAAATATCAAATAGGATTTTCTACAGACATTGGCAAGTGCTAATTGCTGCTCCCGTAGCTGAAATCCTCTCAGTTATCTATAGTGTAATTTATTGGTCTGTTTATCAGCTAATATGGATAATCAGGTTCCAATCCACTGTGTGTGAAAGATTGGTGTGTGATATTCTATTTTATTTGCTGAAGCTCATTTTAAGAAAATGCTCTGCTTAGAAACATTGCTTTATTGAATAGTGTTCATTCTTTATAAAATGCCTTTCTTTATAAAACATCAATAATATAGTTTGTATTGTAAGGTTTTCCACTTAACCTCACAATTGCCCCAGCATTACTCAGGAATTTAAAAGAGCCAAAGAAACTCCTGAGTCGAGGTTTCAGCAAGCAAACAACTTTTATTTTGATCAAAACAGAGTTGGGTGACCCCATCTCTCTTCGTGGCTGGTAGAGAGATGAAGGCAACAACCAGAAAAGATGTCTTCCACCTTTTATACCTTTTCAGAACAAAGAGATCAGGTCTTGGTACTAGGCATAAGATGGCATAAAAAAATAATTCCTAGATGATGACTCATACACAGCAACCCAGGCTCCATCCGTAACTCCTTTCCCCCTCCCCTTACTGTGCCCTTTTCATATAAGCAATCACCTATACCTAAAGCATGAAGCCCTTTTCCAATATATATATAAAGCATCTGATCAAGCAATTAACTACAAAATAATGATTACAAAATAACAAAACAATGATTACATGATAACACTATAAGTATCAATATAAAATGGTTACTATATATAAAATAAATGCTAATGTCAAACTTAAACATACTAAAATCATAAGCAAAATAAAATCCCTTCAGTATAACAAAATACGTAAACTGCTTACAGTCCTTAGTCTGTTCTTTCTGATAGAAATCGTCACTTTTCCAGCTAACACCTGCTTCTTCTTTTCAGATAAGGCTCTGCTTCCCCCTTTTCTTGTTTGCTAATAAAATATAAGACCTTGCATGTGTTTGTCCGTGTATATTTCTACTGCATCCAATTTATAATTGTAATTTTAGTTCAGAAAAAAATAGCAGTCCTTTTCAACTTTGAAGTGATTTTCTGTAGGATGCGTTTTCTGAAGAACAGGGTTTACACATCTATAAAGCCACAATGCAGTTTGTCTTTGTTGTACTAGGTTAAATTGACTCTAATAACATCATTTGCAAACCATGGCCTCTTGTATTACACAATCCTAATAGTAATGATTTAACATGGATTGACTTAAATAGAGGAGTATTTAAGAGGACTATCAGCCATCTACAAATCAGTCTTTTTTAGCTTGAAACAAAGCTCTTACAAATATCAGCAGGAAAGAAGAACAGTTATGGGAAATCCTACTCCAGTGATGGCGAACTTTTTAGAGACCGAGTGCCCAAAAACTGGCCCAGCCCTCGCTCCACCCCCTGCCCTGCTCCCACCCTGCCTGCCTGCAGGCCACTCGCTGCCTCCAGGGCCTGCCACGGATCACTCAGGCAGGCAAACAGCACCATGGTGGCCACGCCCTCTGCTTGCGTCCTGCAGCATCAACTGTGCGCAATGGGGCATGAGGGCAGAGTCTTGTCTATGCTGCCTGGCTGCCATGTCCTTGGCTGTGCTGCTCCGCGTGGGCCACACTCGGGGGCAACTCTCCTCCAGAGGGGCTGCTGGTGAGGAGGGGGTCACGGAGGGAGACAAGGCTGGGGCAACAGCACATGTGCCCACAGAGAGGGCTCTGAGTGCCACCTCTGGGACGTGTGCCATAGGTTCACCACCATGTTATCTTGATATATATTTTAATAAACCTATTTTTCCTTCTAATGCAACAAATGTTAAGTAACATTTATTGACAGCTGGGCTAAGCCCATTCTTGAATTCCACAAAAAATGATTTCAACAATTTATTTTTAATGGGGCCTTTTGTAATTCTTTCAGTATTTTTTCAACACTACTTGTCATCAGAGCATATCTTCTAGCAAGGCTTAAATCATACTGTTAGCCAATTGCATACATCACAAATGGTAAATAATACATTCTTAGGGCATTGAATTACTCTCAGATGGAGAACGTTATATGGTAAGCTGTCAATACTTTGTTCTTTCTCAGTTGATGCTCATTATTTTTGGTCTGGTTCCAAGGCCATCTGGCTACATTGAGCCTGTCTTTCTCGTAACATTTTTCCTTGCAACTGAGCACTTTGGTTTCACTCTGCCTTTTGATAGGCATTCTAGCAGCACTATTTCATAGAAACTGGGTATATGTGCTGGTAAGTCTAGGTTGAAGATCTTGGGGTAGTGGGGATTGATTCTGGGTGAATTTTCTGCTAACTTTGCTCATCTGGTGCAAAGGGCACATTTAATATATACTGCTCAAAAAAATAAAGGGAACACAAACGTATAGGATCCTATACATTTGTGTTCCCTTTATTTTTTTGAGCAGTATATTTCCTCCTTCAAGAATTCTTTAGATGACTGCATGTTGGCACTGAATTAGTTCAATAAGTTAATTACATTCAGGGACTCACCATATGGATCAGAATGAGATACCTTAAAACAATTTTATTTCATTAACCACAACCACTCTTGGATGAATAATGCTTATTTTCTTTCTCTTCTCTTTCACAATAGATTGATGAATGTATAAATCTTACCTGCAGAATTTGTGACCATCTCTGCTTTTTAGCTAAATGCAGCGGACCAATGGAGCTGACTGCCAAAGACTTGATTCCTTCGTTTTTTTGTAGATTTCACATGAGCAGGAAACATGGGTCACCCTTGTGATTCCACCTAAAAGGACTGGTGGGTCTCATGTTTACAAATCTGCTTTAAAGTGAATTCACTGATGACGGCATCCAATCCAATATATTTTGCAAGGGAACAGCTCAGTAGATAGGAAAGTTCTCCACTACTTCCCTGTAGTCCAAAAAGTTTTCTCAAAAACTGCAGTATGTTGAGAGACCCTCCCAAAAAGATTTTCATCTAGAACTGGAAGACCGTATGAGGAAGAAGAGAGCAGATTTCTTACGGTGCATTGTTGGATTTTCCCCTTATGTCAATTGTTTTTATTATCAAGTTAATTTTTAATGTAATTCTTTTGTTGCAGGATATTAATGAAAGTGGTGTGGCCAAACCATCTAAAAGGAAAGAAATGTCTAGTCCAATTTATGTTGGTAGAGAAGATGATATTAAAAAGCTCAAGAGAACAACAGCCACTGTCTATGAGAGAGAAGTTGTTATTTTCTACCATAGTGGACACTTTTATGCTCTGGATTGCCGCTGTTACCGTAAGAACTTTAAAATGATGTGCATTGAGGCTTATAGAGCTACAGTGAGAACAAAGCAAGTCCCTTGTTGGGTTAATGCATATGTTCTTTAGTCCTGTATACATCTTGGACAGCTAGATGCAATTGGGAAGCTCAAGTAGGGAATGCATGGTGTATCACATACCTATTTATGTTCCCCAGCCATTTGTATTCAGAGCTATAATACCTCTGAAACTAGAAGTGAGATACAACCACCCTAACTAATAGCTCTGATCTAATATATTTTTATCTTTTAATAGATGCAGGAGGTCCCTTACATCTTGGTGAAATAGAGGTAGGTAAACACAATACCACTTAATATGGTAGCTAAGGTGATAATCAATATTTTCATATAAATCAGGGGTTTCCAACCAGGGGTGCTCGCACCCCCTGGGGTGTGAGACAATATTCCAGGGGGTACGAAAACCTGGGTTTAGAAGTTTCAAAATTATAGTGTATATGCATAATTCGTTATTTCTTACTTTTGTAAGGGGTGTGAGAATATATCAGAAGAGTTCTAGGGGTGCGGGGTATAGAAAAGGTTGGGAGCCACTGATATAAATGAAAGTATCAAAGTGCGGGAACATTGCAAATACAATTAACTAAATGATCAGAGACAATTTGTAGATAGACAATATATATATTTCTAATGTTTATAAGATAATGAAAAATATTTTTGTTCTCCCCTTGTGTCTATAGGACATCAATGGACAACCATGTATTATTTGTCCTTGGCATAAGTATAAAATAACTCTGAATACAGGTGAAGGATTGTATCAAGCAATAAATCCCAAAGAGCCATCTGCCGTACCCAAGTGGAAATCAAAAGGACCAAAACAAAGGACTCACAGAGTCACTGTGGACAATGGAAATGTTTATGTGACTCTTTCAGATTTAATGGAGTATAAAGAGTCTGACTACTATGCTGAAAAATACAAAACAGGAAAAAATGCAGAAAAATAATCTTTTTAAAATAACATTTTGCTTCATAGGAACTTGAGTTAAAAAACTGTTGAATATATGTGGTCCTCGACTTACAACTACAACTGAGCTCAAAATTTCTGTTGCTAAGTGAAACATTTGTTAAATGAGTTTTGCCCCATTTTAGGAACTTTCTTGCCACAGTTGTTAAGTGAATCACTGCACTTATGAGGTTAATAACACAGTTGTTAAGTGAATCTGGCTTCCCCGTTGATTTTGCTTGTCAGAAGGTCGCAAAAAATGATCTCATGACCCCAGGACACTATAACCATCATAAATATGAGTCAGTTGCCAAGCATCTGAATTTTGATCATATGACCATAGGATACTGTAGCAGTCATAAGTATGAAAGACAATCATAAATTACTTTTTTCAGTGCTGTTGTAACTTTGAACAGTCACTAAATGAACTGTGGTAAGTCGAGGACTACCTGTATAAATTCTGGTCTTGTTATCTAAAAGGCATTTTGTTCCTTGGTGATACATTCACTTAGTAACAATCCCTCAGTGATAGAGGTTTTGTCCAGTATCTGCAGGATCTTGGGAGAATTATTTCCAGAATATTTTCAAAACAAAATAATTCAGCTGGGACTTAACTTTTCAGCCTCCCATGTCCAGATCAAGAACCTCATTTCACAATTAAAACCCAGAACAGGCTTGGAAGAAATTGCTATCTCCCCCCAGATTTATTAAGGGAGAACAAGGACTGGTGAGTTAGGGTCAATGCTCCTATTCACTCCTATTAACAGCTCAGTGTGTTTTCCTCCTAAGTGGAGCTGTCATTGTTATCCAATCCTATGACATAAGAAACTAGATTAGGCTGCCATTTTTGACCATCAGTCAGCAAACTAAATAATAAATGTACTTACAACTATTGAACCAGGCTGCAAGTGAAAACGTCTTAGTTGAGGAGAAGACACATTTTAATGTAGACTAATCAATTCTTAACCACCATCTGGTCATCCACTGTTTTACTGAGAAATATTCTTTCCAGCCCAAAGCCTTTGGGTTAATTCCCAGGGAGAGGATATGAGAAAAACTAAGGGAATCTTAATAGATGAAGCGTAGCTTCTTTTCATTTAATTCCTCCACTCCAACACTACTTTGAGAGTTAGATGCTTCTCCTGGGGACGGAATGACCATGGCAGATCTGAAGGAGATGGTGTGAGACAGAGGGGCACAGAGAGTGCTGATCCATAGAGTGGCGGAGGGTCAGATACAACTGAATGGCTGACAATGAACTGGGGACTATCCCTGATCAGAGAAGGTGAGACAGAGGTGTATTTTAGCTTCTTTACTTTTTGACTTACATATTAATAAACTAGGGCCTCCCCCCATTCATCACTTCCCTTTATTATTTGGTCCAGCTTTTTTATGTGCAGAGGAGGTCATGATCAGGTCATCTCTCAGTAATGAGAAGAGAACTGAGGACTTTGGTCACTTTCTGCTCAGAGGAAAAACTAGTAAAATCAGATCAGAAAATTTAAATCACAGTATTTGTGTGACATTATCATAATATTCATAATAAGAAAATTAAGGAGAATGCTATCAAGTAGGTATACCCTTACAAGTACCTTTTTTTTTTCAAACTTTAGTATCCTGAGGAGAACTTTTTGATAATTGGTAAGTATTGTTCAGTGAAGCTTCTAATTATTCTGAGGTGTTTTTTTCATTTGGAGAAAGCTCATTATATCCCTGAAAGGGTTTTATATTCAAGGTTGCCTCCCAACTTGTATACAATAGCCAAGTCTGTGACATCCTTGAAACCATTCAATTTAAGCATATTAGAGCTACTCTTCTAGTCCCAGGATGTATTACAAATGCTGCTTTATGTTTAGATATAGGCTTAGTCTCTGTGGATGCTAGAGCCTGGTCCTATCATTTTTAAAAATTGCTAATGTAAGCATGTTTCCCAATGAATTTGATGTCTGCCATTGATTCTTCAACCTGGTTAAAAAGGTTGAAAATGTTACTCTCTAACTCTCTTGTTGAAGTGCCTTTGAAAACAGAAGCATTCTAGGTAATGTACCTGAGATCTTCAAATGATTCTGTGGTTCCCTGTCTTGCAAGACATGGATATGATTTTCAAATGGATATGATCCACCCTCCTGCCTCTCTTCTATCACAGTCTGAAGTTTTGCTGACTCTTCACTCTGGACAGACTGGATGCACTGCCTTCTGCTTCTCTTCAGGGTTACAGAAATACTCCTCACATACTTAAGAGGGCATCAGGGTGACAATGTTGGCTCACCTAGAGCTTAAAAATTACAATGTCTGTTTTCCCCAAAACAGATTATCCTTGCAATGGAATCCTTGTGTAACCCAGGGATTGCCTTGTATGAAAAATGCATTTAAAAGCATTATCAGTGTAAATAAATGGGGATACTATTTTTTCCATGCTATGTATTAGGGATCTTTAATTAAAGAAATAATTTTTGCTGTGAAACTCTCATCCTTTATCTTGTACTTGATTTATTTCATCCCACAATGGTAAGCTTGATACATATTGACTCTTGCTGTAATGGCTTGTAATACACCAATTATTTTGCAGTATAGTGCCTCTTAGTAAAGCAGGTAGACCACAAAAGTCTGCTTAATGTGAGTCAAGCAGGTTATTTGCATTAATCAGGAATTCTTTACAGGCCCTTCTAGGAAAGCAAACTTCCAGAGATTAGGACACACACACACACACACACACAGTAGACCTATAGGCTATAGTAATACCTTGTATCTCTAATATGGTAAACCTATCAGATCAGTAGCTGAATTCCTGCACAAACACATTTCCCTGTCATTTGAAGCAGATGATTTTGGAGACTTTTCTTTTTTTGAATCTCAGCTGGCTGGCTGGAAGATATGGGAAGAAATATTTCAGTATCCAGGAAAGAATATATTCTAACACAGACTTGTCCTTACGCTTGTTCAAATAGACTCTCTTTAATCCTACCTTTTTTTTCCCAAGACACCTGTGTACATGTTTTGTTGCTGTGTGTTTTTAATTGTAAATACCATTTTAAACAGACAGTTTAGTGCTAATTTATATTTTGGTGGGTTGTAATTTGCTACTATGCCTCAGAAGGTCTTTTAATGACTACCAAAATTAACTAGTTATTTCATACTTACACCAAAGTAAACAGATGCTTTACTTTGAGCTTTGTATACACAATTAAGATGTAACAAACTATTTACAGTACAAATTTGCCATTAGGAATGCTAAACAGTTCACGGGAAGCACAGTGGAGCCTTTTTGTAAGGATTTTCTGATTAGTGTATGTACCATTCCCTATTTTCTCTTTAACCAACCACTCATTTACATGTGTTAAAATCCAGGCCAGGATAGGTAGAGGAGTCAACTGTGGCATCAGCACTGTAAACATCTGGTGGATTTGGGAACAGACTCTGTAGGAAATGGAGTTCATGGGCCTGGTTAAAGGAGCTGTCACACGGTATCTGTAACGCTTAATCAGGACTGGGATTTTTGCAAACAAGACTTTTCTTTTTCCTCTTGCTGCAAACAGAGCCCTTTTCTTCTAATGGTCGGAATTTGTCCATTAGAAAGGTTGTGAGTAACAAAGACCTCTTTACACAGTAGCTTTGGAACCACTTGGCACACACTGCTGTGTAGGAGGGGCTTTTTCAGAGCAACATGCCTTCCACACAGTATGTTGTTGTCTGGCAAGTAAGGTTTCTGAAGGGAGAGAATCCAAACAACCAATTGCCTGCTCTTTGGAATTGTAAGTTATGGAATTCTTTTTTAAAGTATAGTTGTTTTTAAATGATCCTGTGAGAAAAATGTATATGCATAGAAGATGAGTTAAGAGGCAAAGAAAATGAAACCTATGAAATTACAAGCTTTCCGGACAAAAGTCAACTAAAAGAAACATCAGCATTTCCCAAATGGTTTTCTAATGATCAACTTGTTATAATTGCTCATTCTTCAGTTTTTAACTTTAACTTGGTTTTTGTTTTCTGATCAATCCATGGATGTTATCAAATATTTTAAAATAAATTTTCCTTGCCCAGGTAATGTGATAATTTTTTCAACATTTAATGTACCTTTTTATTTAATAATATTTTTTCCTGTTTTGAGATGAAAACTTTCTGAAACTTTTACGTGAGACGTGACAAGTCATTTATTCATAATTCAGTTTTTTTTCCTCCATCAAGCAGCTTCTAAAGCAGTCATGCCAGGACTTACAAAAGTTGCATTCTCTTTATTATCAGCCTGGAAAAAAATACTTCATTTGGACTTCTGCCTTTGCAAAATGTATCTTCTGTATGCTTTGCACAGCCTCAAAGCATATAAAAACTTGGTAATTCTCAAATGGAAATTGAGAACCATGTTTATATATTTGTGTATTTAATAAAACAATGTGGATATAGGCTGAAAAGTCCAAGCTGGGCCTATACTATATAAAAAGAACCATTATTGTTCACTTTCTTGATCCATTGCTGCAAGTAGAGTATGGATGCTTCCACTATTTTGTGATGCTTTAACAGGAAACATTGAAGACTCTTGTTGAAGGGGGGGAGTTGCTTCAATAGCTCTGGAAAATCCATTTTCATCCACATCTTCACTGCTGCTTTCCCTAGAAGTGTCTTCTGTTTGACTGATGCCTTTTATTTTTGCCAGCAATTTGTTAATGGAGACTGCCTGTTTACATAAAAAGAGATACTTTTGTTTAATTAACTTTAGAGAGTTTGGCATAGTACATTTTTTCTAATTTAAGAAGAGTGTATTGCCCTGTAGTTTTAGTACTGGCTGGACTGCCTTAATTTTATTTATTAAATTTATATACTGTTCATCTCCCCCATAAGGTGACTCTGGGCCTTAATTACAGCAAAATAATAAATCATTGGAACAGTAAAGCTATGACAGAAATGAATAGGGAAGATTGACACCAGGTGGTATAAACTAAAAACTGAACTGAAACTGTTCCCCCTTGAATAACTGGGGATGGGGAGTCAAAACCTCAAGATGTATGTTGCACATCATGAAAAAGGGATAGTCTTTGATTGTGTAGTTGTGGCTGCCATCTTGACTTTTCTGACCTATACTAGATTACCATCATCTGTGATGACTGTTTGGCTGTCACTTCCTTCTTTTTTGATTCACAACTGAAAAAAATGCATTTAAAAAAATGCAGTGGCCTGATCAAATTTGGAGGCATTATTGAGAGGGATAATGGTGGCTTTATCTTCCCCATTCTCTTTTTCCTTCTTCAAGCCTACATGGAGGAGGAATGAAAAAGTTGGAGAAATGGAACAGCTCTATTTTTGTGGTTGTTACAGCCTCCCACTTCTTTGTAGAACCAACAAGTAAATTTATATACTAGGGGATCAGTAAAATCCAGAGCTAGCTGAGATTCTGGATCAGATGAGACAACTTAGTTTAGGCTGTTGTGCTCTTATATGAAGATATTCATTGTATTTTGTTCTGATGTTACCTACCTTCAGTATAATTGTTGATAGAAAGCTGATATATAAAGCAAATTAATGTTTTGTGCATTTTAATGACTTTAATATAAAGTATAATGATCTGCAAATAGTTCCATTCTTGGTCAGTTCTAGTGTTAAATCAATGAATTCTTTTCACCTAAGTTTTAACTGTTGATTATAATTGATTTTATTTTAATTTTAATTAAAATTTTGCTGCCACATTTTATATTTTATAAGCTGCCTTTATAACCCACATGGAGCAGAGAATAAATTTAAAAATATGAAAAATTAAAAAAATGAAATTTATATTTATGACTTCAACCAGAACCTTGAAAGAAGATTAGACTGTATCTTAACATTTCTTAAGACATAATTGCTATAACTATTTTATTCATTCTTACTCATTGTTATGGTAAGACATAAACACTATAAGTATATTGGCTGGCTTCTTGTAGAAGAGCAGATAGGGCTGGGGACAGAGTTAAATCCAATCCCTCTTGAATCCATTGATCCTTATCTGATGCCAATTTAGTTTTGAAGTCTAGTTGACTAGATTCTCATGTATAGGTTTGAGAAATAAATCTTCTGAACTGCAACTTAACGTATGGCCCTGATTCTTTGCACTGACAGTTCCTTCATCAAGCTAAGTCATTTGTAACCATGGTTTGTAACAATCATGGCATATGGGATAGTCTATAGTTGGTTGTATTTGCCAAAACACATTAGTTATAAAGCAATAATAAAGTAAGGCTTATTATTCACAATTTACTAAACACATCTAAGTTAGAACCAAACCATTTTGTGGCTTAATGTGATGAACTCATTTTTTTCTCATTAGTAAAGAGATATGAGGTCTATTGCTAAGATTCTATAATTATTGATTATGAGTTTACTTGCTGAGAATAAGATGGTATTTTGTATGAAAAAAGCTAGAGTAACACTTATTTATTAACCCACCAGAAAAATTAGTGCTGCATAAGAAGCACACATTATGCTGGTAAGGGCAGCCTTTGCTGGGTAGGAAATGATATCATAAAAGAAGACTTTCTTGTCCTGAAGAGAGAAAACAGAAAGAGAAAAAAAAATCATTCATCCATTTTATAATATGGTGGGTGTGATCCTTTCAATTTTAAATCCCACAGTTTTCAGTAGAAGAATTAAACAATTGTTCCTTAATACTGTAGTGTCACAAATTGTTAGACAACATATGAAGCTGTCTTTTATATCAAGGGGATTGGATACTGAATAATAATAATAATAATAATAATAATAATAAACAATATACTACAAGGAGGAGAAATTGAAAAGTGGCTAACAACTGGGAAAACCTACCTAATAATGAAAAATCCAGCAAAAGGGGCAACACCAGGTAACTACAGGCCAATTACCTGCTTACCAACAACATTCAAATTACTAACTGGTGTGGTAGCTGATGCAGTACAACAGCATCTAGTTGAAAACAATCTCTTTCCACCTGAGCAGAAAGGAAACCGCCCCAATAGCAGAGGAACAAAAGATCAACTCCTAATAGACAAAATGATCTTGGAAAACTGCAAGAGAAGGAAGACCAACCTGAATGTGGCATGGATTGACTACAAAAAGGCATTTGACTCTCTGCCACATGATTGGATAATAAAGTGCCTAGAAATAACAGGAGTCAGTAGAAACATCAGAAAATTTGTGCAAAGATCGATGGCACAATGGAAGACACAGTTGCAGATCAATGGTGAGAAGCTGGGAGAGGTTAATATCAAGAGAGGAATATTTCAAGGAGATTCATTATCACCATTACTATTTGTTATTGCACTGTTTCCTCTGTCAACAATACTGAATAACTCAGGACATGGCTATCAAACATCAAAAACATCTGCCAGACTATCCCACCTCCTTTACATGGATGATCTGAAGCTGTATGGAAAAACATTATCTGAAATAGAATCGCTGCTCAACACTGTCCGTATATATAGCCAAGATATTGTAATGGAGTTTGGCTTGGACAAATGTTCCACACTTACTATCAAACAAGGAAAAATAGTGAAAACTGAAGGAATCAAGATGCCCCACGAAAATAACATTAAGAGTCTGGATGAGGAAGAGTACTACAAATACTTGGGTATCCTTCAAGCTGACAACATCAAGCACACTGAAGTCAAGAAAAAGATTAGAGGTGAATACATCAAGAGAGTGAAGAAGATCTTAAAATCCAAACTCAATGGAGGAAATACCATAAAGGCAATCAACACCTGGGCAATCCCAGTCATTAGGTACACAGCTGGAATAGTGGACTGGACTCAAGCAGAACTAAAAGCAATGGATAGGCAGACCAGAAAAATAATGACAATGAATCACGCCCTTCATCCACGCAGTGACATTGATAGACTTTATCTACCAAGGCAAATAGGTGGGCGTGGAATGCTACAAGTACATCAGATGGTTGAAGAAGAAAAAATGGCTTTGGAAGAATATCTGAAGAACAATGATGAAGATGCACTGAAATTAGTATATCAGGAAGGCTTACTAACTACTGGAGAGACCAAACTGGCCTACAAGAAAGACCAAATGAAGAACAGAATAGAGGCATGGGAAGACAAAGCACTACATGGCCAATACATGAAAAAAATAGCTGGGAAAGCAGATAATAATAAAACCTGGCAATGGCTAAGAGCAGGAAAATTGAAGAAAGAGACCGAGGGACTAATTCTGGCTGCACAAGACCAAGCCTTAAGGACAAATGCATACAAAGTCAAAATTGAGAAGACAGCAACAGACAGTAAGTGCCGCCTATGCAAAGAAGCTGAAGAAACAGTGGACCACTTGGTAAGCTGTTGCAAGAAGATTGCACAGACTGATTACAAGCAGCGGCATGACAAAGTAGCAACAATGGTGCATTGGAAGATCTGCAAAAAATATCATTTGCCTGTAAGCAAAAACTGGTGGGATCATAAAATAGAGAAAGTCATAGAAAATGATAAAATTAAACTGCTCTGGGACTTCAGAATTCAAACAGACAAGCACCTGCAACATAACACCCCAGACTTAACAATTGTCGATAAGAAAGACAAAAAAGTCTGGATAGTGGACGTGGCAGTGCCTGGAGATAGCAGAATAGAAGAGAAAGAACTGGAGAAGATAACAAAATACAAAGACCTACAAATAGAAATAGAAAGACTGTGGCAAAAGCAAGCAAGGGTAGTACCAATAGTCATAGGCTCCTTGGGTGCAATCCCAAAACAACTGGAGCACCACTTGAACACCATTGGCATTGACAAATTCGCTATTAGTCAATTGCAAAAGGCGGCCTTATTAGGAACTGCTTCCATCCTGCGACGATACCTGTAATACCATCAAACATCCACATCTGCCTATCCCAGGTCCTGGGTAAGGACTCGATAGGTAGACAAAATGCCAAATCCAGTCTGAACATCTGGCTGACTGTGCGATGAATGATAATAAATAAATAATAATAGTAATGTTGAAAGGGACCTTGGAGGTCATCTAGTCCATCCCCCTGCTCAGGCAGGAAACCCTATACCATTTTGGACAAATGGCTGTCCAATCTCTTCTTTAAAAACTTCCAATGTTGGAGCATTCATCGCTTCTGGAGGCAGGTTGTTCCACTGGTTAATTGTTCTAACTGTCAGGAAGTTTCTCCTTAGTTCTAGGTTGCTTCTGTCCTTGATTAGTTTCCACCCATTCCTGGTATTAGTAAGTAAAGGACCTGGTGCAGCTCTTTCATCTATTTTTTCCCTTCCTATTAAAGAAAAAATGGAGCTAGGAGAAAATAGACTCAGAGTTTTATCTCACTAAGAAAATGCAGTTTCCTGATTTACTAGGAATCATTTTCTAGTGATTTAGCAAGTTGTTCAGCTTATATACCAAGTAAATTCAACCATTTATAGTCGCCTCTGAGCACAATCTGTGCGGAGTAGCACAGCCAAGGACATGGCAGCCGGGCAGTGGGGACAAGACTCCGCCCTTGCACCCCATCGCACGCAGATGATGCTGTGAGGTGCGGGTGGAGGGCACAGCTGCCATGGTGCTGCTGGGCCGCCTGGGCAATCTGCTGTGGCGGGCCATGGAGGCGGTGGGTGGCCTTGCGGGGGATGGGGCGGAGCGGGTGGAGCACGGAGCGGGACGGGCGGGGTGGCAGGGTGGTTTTGGGGCACTCAGTCTCTAAAAGGTTCACCATCACTGAGCTAGACTGTAGCTTAGTGACATGTTTGATGTTAGCACTTTCAGAACAGAACTTATTTAAGAGGTTGTGTGAGGGATAATTGAATTTACCTACTTGCATCCTATACAATGGCTGTTTAGGAGTATTTGATGTTCTCAAAAGGCGTCGTGATAAGATATTTAGCTCTGTTAATTTTCTAGCAAGCTGCGGCTGTAAAACTTTTGCAATGGAGTTTGAAGACCGTGATAGTGTAGCTAGCCCATTCAAAATGATAGCTCCATGAGCTGAATAGAATGCCCTGGTTATTACTGATTCAGATTTCTGCACCCTGCGATCTGTTTCCTGAAACAGAAATAAAAAAGCTTTTGGATTTAGAATAAAAGTAGTCAATTTGTTGTGTGAAAGATAGTAACATACAGTTACATGCCTATGAGTTGGATATATTTACATATAACATACATAAAAGGCAGGATAAAAATATAATAATAATTACATTCAGAACAGTAAAATTTGGAACTAAAATAGTCTATCTCTGCTACAGAGAAGTATTTTATAATTCTAATATTACAATTCCAAAAAAGTTTTATTCTAATAATGTCAGTTATTATTTCAATTGAATAGAATCACTATTTCTAGTAATTTTGTTAGCCTTTTTACATAGGATTACCACTGAAAAACAGAATAAACTGTATTAAATAAGAGGTTAAAGACTAAGCATGAATTTATGTATTGCTTATCCCCTAAATGCTGTCAAGATTATTACTGCAATTCAGAATTGTATTTCTTGTTCATTCACTGAAAACCAGGAGGGAAATGTCATTTTAGAAAAACAGCTAGAGTACACCAAACTTGTGGTTTGGGAGGAGTGGTCAATACAAAAATTTAAAAAACATACAAAAACCATCCTCGGGGAGCAGTTGGCAATAGAGAGGAAAAAGTGGAACTGGGAATGGGGGATAGAAAAGGGCCATGTATGCTTGGAGCACCCAGTGGCTTAAATTTTAACAAGGGAGTGCTTGTTAACATTTTATTTCCCATCTGTACATAAATAAGAAACAACTGGAAGCCTGGAGGCAAATCTGCATTTCCTGTTGTCCTAATGCAAACACGAGCCACTCATCGTTCTAGAGGAGTGGAATATACAATCTCTTCCTCAACTCACCCCTAGCCTGTATTGTCTCAAAAGGTATTTTTCCACTTCCTGACAGAAGAAGCGATAGCTATTGGTTTAACCCCCGCACTTGGCACTTGTGTGCCTTATCCTGTATGTAGGACTGATATAGCTAGTTTTAGCCAGAGAAACTCCATTTTGTTAAATGTCTATGGACATTCTCCATTTTGTTAAAAAAAACACCTTAATTTTGTTCACTTCACAATCCTTAGATGTATTCTCTTTGGACTTCTTATTCTGGGGCCTCATAGCCTTGCCCTAAAATTCCCAGAAGGCTACGTGATACCCTTATCAAGGAATTTGTACCAGGCCAGAAGTTAAGTCAGAGTTAACTTCCCCTATCCTGTTGCATATAGTTAGAAACTTTTGCATACTTAATTACTAGCCTTATCAGTTAGGGACAGAAGGACGAGGGCTATAATATTTTAGTAATGAATCCACTTCTGGGAGGGCCCTTCTCTAGCAGGGGTGTGAATACTTTGTCACGCATTACCTATTGCTGTTCATTGCCTAACAATTATGTGCCTTTGTTTTTCAAAGGGGCATAAAAGCTATGCTAATTTGTGATTTAGCCCCAAAGAGCACAACTCTTTGCACTGTACAGAATAAACAGGTGCAATTTCCCACCTTGTGTTATAAATTACCTACTTCGTACCAGGGAAAAACAAATTCAGCATGGGGAGGGGGCAGTACCTGGTTTGGCCAACAGACTTGTGCAACTACTGGGTTTGAAACTTGCCATCACAACTTCATTTACATTTTCCTCCAAACTAACCCACTTTTTCACAGACCCTTTTTTTAAAAAAAGTTAGATTGCTGGTAGGATGAGGCAGAAATCTTTCCAAACTAAAGCAACTACTTGAATCTTTCTGCCAATCAAACTATCTAAATTTTGCTGTCTCTTGGTCCTCTGGAATGCAGCCCCTCCCTCCTAGGAATCCAGACTATATCCCACCATAGGCTGGCTGTTCTATAGCCAGAAGGGCTTGTTCTGTGGGAGAAGGAGGAGGAGGAGGAGGAGATGATGATTTTTGCATAATCCCCCTGCAGTTCACTGCTCCTGAGGCTCACCCCATGTCTGAGAAATCAAAGGAGTTTGTAAGAGGAAGTGTTTGCAAAAGTCATATCCAAGGCCCTTGCTTCAATGTCAGCACATCACTAAATACTTTAAAACAAAAACATCCTTATATATCCAAAACAAAAGATTTGTAGTAGTAGTAGTAGTAGTAGTAGTAGTAGTAGTAGTAGTAGTAGTAGTAGTAATGATGATAATAATAATAATAATAATAATAATAATAATAATAATAATAATAAGTGTGGCCTTACCAAGGCATTGTAAAGTGGTATTAATACTTCATGTGATCTTGATTCTATCCCTCTGTTAATGTAGCCTAGCACTGTGTTGGCCTTTTTGGCAGCTGCAGCACACTGCTGGCTCATATTTAAGTGATTGTCTACTAGGACTCCGAGGTCCCTCTCACAGTTACTACTATTGAGCATGGTGCCACCTATGCTGTACTTGTGCATTTGGTTTTTCTTGCCTAAATGTAGAACCTTGCTTTTTTCACCATTGAATTTCATTTTGTTAGTTAGTGCCCAGTGTTCAAGTCTGTCCAGATCCTTCTGTATCTTAAGCCTGTCTTCTGGAGTGTTGGCTATTCCTGCCAGCTTGGTGTCGTCTGCAAATTTGATGAGTTCCCCATCTATCCCTTCATCCAAATCATTGATGAAGATGTTGAAGAGTACTGGGCCCAGAACAGAGCCCTGGGGCACCCCACTACACACTTCCCTCCATATAGATGCAGTTCCATTGAGGACCACTCGCTGAGTACGGCCGGTCAGCCAGCTACGGATCCATCTGGTGGTGGTTCTGTCTACCCCACATTTTTCTATCTTGTCAAGTAGTAGGTTGTGATCTACTTTATCAAATGCCTTACTGAAGTCCAAGTAAATTATGTCCACAGCATTCCTCTGATCCACTAATTTTGTCACTTGGTCAAAGAATGCAATAAGATTTGTCTGGCATGATCTATTTTTGACAAACCCATGTTGGCTTTTAGTAATGACTTTGTTTGCCTCTAGGTGTTCGTTGATTCGTTGTTTGATTATCTTTTCCAGGATCTTCCCAGGTATTGAGGTCAGGCTGATAGGTCTGTAATTTCCTGGATCCATTTTTTTTCCTTTTTTGAGGATGGGAACTACATCAGCTCTTTTCCAGTCCTCTGGTAGTTCCCCTGTGTTCCAGGATCTTTGAAAAATATAGTTCAGTGGCTCCGATATCACATCTGCCAGTTCCTTGAGAACTCTGGGGTGTAATCCATCTGGTCCTGGCGATTTGAACTCATCTAGGCTGGACAGGTGCTCACTTACCATTTTCTTGCCTATCTTAACTTGTGTTTCTATTTTGTTTTTTATGGCACTATTTTTGATAGGTTGGTCTGGCTGACTGTGTCGATGATCATATAATAGGAAAATGGAAGGATCTTGGAGGTCATCAAGTCCAACCCCCTGCTCAGGCAGTAACCCTATACCATTTCGGACAAATGGCTGTCCAGTTTCTTCTTAAAAACTTCCAGTGTTGGAGCATTCACCGCTTCTGGAGGCAGGTTGTTCCACTGGTTAATTGTTCTAACTGTCAGGAAGTTTCTCCTTAGTTCTAGGTTGCTTCTCTCCTTGCTTAGTTTCCACCCGTTGCTTCTTGTCCTGCCTTCAGGCGCTTGAAAATAGCTTGACTCCCTCTTCTTTGTGGCAGCCCCTGAGATATTGGAACACTGCTATCATGTGCCCCCTCGTCCTTCTCTTCATTAAACTAGACATACCCAATTCCAGCAACCGTTCCTTATATGTTTAGCCTCCGTCCCCTAATCATCTTGTTGCTCTTCTCTGTACTCTTTCTAGAGTCTCAACATCTTTTTTACCGTGGTGACCAAAACTGGATGCAGTATTCCAAGTGTGGCCTTACCAAGGCATTGTAAAGTGGTATTAACTTCACGTGATCTTGATTCTATCCTCTGTTAATGCAGCCTAGCACTGTGTTGGCCTTTTTTGGGCAGCTGCAGCACACTGCTGGCTCAATTTAAGGATTGTCACTAGGACTCCGAGGTCCCTCTCACAGTTGCTACTATTGAGCAGGTACCCCCTAACTATCCTGTGAATTTGGTTTTCTTGTATAAATGTAGAACCTTGCTTTTTTTCACCATTGAATTTCAATTTTGTTTAGATAGCACCCATGTTTCAAGTCTGTCAGATCCTTCTGTATCTTAAGCCTGTCTCCTGAGTGTTGGCTATTCTGCCAGCTTGGGTGTCGTCTGCAAATTTGATGAGGTCCCCATCTATTCCCTTGTCCAAATCGTTGATAAAGATGTTGAAGAGCACTGGGCCCAGAACAGAGCCCTGGGGCACCCCATTACACACTTCCCTCCATGTAGATGCGGTTCCATTGAGGACCACACGCTGAGTACGGCCGGTCAGCCAGCTACGAATCCATCTGGTGGTGGTGCTGTCTACCCCACATTTTTCTATCTTGTCAAGTAGTAGGTTGTGATCTACTTATCAAATGCCTTACTGAAGTCCAAGTAAATTATGTCCACAGCATTCCTCTGATCCACTAATTTTCTCACTTAGTCAAAGAATGCAATAAGATTTGTCTGGCATGATCTATTTTTGACAAACCCATGTTGGCTTTTAGTAATGACTTTGTTTGCCTCTAGGTGTTCACTGATTCGTTGTTTGATTATATTTTCCAGGATCTTCCCAAGTACTGAGGTCAGGTTGATAGGTCTGCAATTTCCTGGGTCCATTTTTTCCCCTTTTTTGTAGATGGGAACTACATCAGCTCTTTTCCAGTCCTCTGGTCTTTAGATCAATTTTCTATTTTCAAGAAAACTAACACAATCTTTCTGCAAATGTTGACATGTTTACCTGATTGTATTACTTCAATTTTATTTTAGAAGCCATTAGGTAGATTTACCAGACTGGAGATGCAAAAGTCTAGATGTCAGCAAAGAGTTAGGTGTTTGTGGAGTTCTTGATGCTTTCTGAGCTTGGTTGTTTGCTTGCAGTCATTTCATTACTCAACTGAGCAACATCTTCAATTAAGAGGTTTTTTTAATTGACATTTAGTGATCCAGTAGATCTTTGCAGCCCATATCTGGTAACTCCAAATTTACAAGATCTCCTGCACTTGGGTTTTGGCAATGTCTTTATGATGGATAAATATTGTTATGATATTCTTTATATGAGGATAGATAGATCTATGTCCTTCCATTTTATGACTAACATCAACATTAGTTAAACTTTAAAAGTTAAAGTAGATATTTTGACTAAAATACATCTACCGGTACTTGTAACAATAGCTTTCACCCTTGCAATTGAGCAACTCTATTCATGTTACCTGCCTAACTACAGCTAACTGTGAGTTGTCCAAGCCAGTTTCTTTGTTTGAACAACATACTGAACCATAAACTGATCACAGAGTTTGCAGAACTTTAAGGCTAAAGTCTGGTTGGCTAGCTGGTGGACCAATATTGGTGGCTCAATACAATGTACCTGTTATACCCAGTATTGTATGCTATTACATTATATTGTTTTATGAAAATGAAGGCAATTTCACAACTGTGTTGCACACTAGGAATAAATATTATCATTTGCTAAAACATCATTTTCCAACTTGGTTCCCTGCCACCTACTTTTGCATAGACCTTCTCATCTTAAGGCAGCACTATCATTACTTAGTGAAATGGCCAACATTTGCCAAATGTTTTATTTCACAGAAGGTATATAATAACCCCCCCATCCCTTTTGCTCTGTTAAAACAAATAGTTGCAACAACCATCCAAACCAACATGACTGATAAAAAATGTTGCAAGGAGACAATTATCTATTCCCCTCATTTCTATCTCCTCTGCAAGCTATTTTATAAGATGGCCACTGTGACAGAGATAAATTCAAGGTCATCCTTATTCTGATATAAATTATACTTGTACATTTTTAGTATGATATAAAGGTACAACATTGGATACCTGCATCACTGAATAATTAAAATAGTTTCTTTTTGTTGCTTTTAATCATACTTATTTCTTATATGACACTTCACTTAAGGTACTTATACTAAAGAAAATTAAACTAAACATGACATATAGAAGTATGCAATATTATAACAGCTTTTAAAATATATTTAGTGGACTGAATATCTTTACTGTCATATGATAATTTTTTCATTGCAATGCGAGACTTTGCAAAATGGAAAATAAATACTAAGCATGTTATGAAAATGTTTGAACATTTGAAATAGCAAGGAAATGTAGTAGTCAAGAAATATTACCTGGTTTGAACGTGTCAGCCTCAATAGATTTGGAAATTCGTCTCTAATCTCATCTATAATTTCCAAGATGGCTCTCTGTATAACTCCAGCTGAATTGAAATACAGTAGTTAAAATAATAAAATCCTGATCTTCAGAATTAAATTTCAAATATGAAGCACAGCATATTTGTAAAAAACTGGGTTAAATGAGGTATAATAGCAGAAACTAAAATGCCATTCAGATTTTGTTAGGCCCCATTCATGAACACCAGATCCTACCCAATTTGAACTATATTCCAAAGACTGTGGTGATTATGTCAAGTATCAATATTCCTTCCTCTTTTTTTCTGCATTGTATAGTGGCTCAGTCCCAGGAATTTTGGGAGTTGGACTAGAAGACCTCCAAGGAACCCTCCAACCTTATCTCTCTTTTAATAATCTTGACTAGCAGTAATTTGGAGAAATCAAAAAACTATTGCCATCAAGAGTTAGCTAAATGGTGGTATGGCTTAGGGCAGCTTCTTATATGTATAAATTTTATTTATAGTCAATTTTTAGCCAGCTTCATCAGATCTGCCTCCTGTTTCTAAGGGGTTAATAATTTGGCAAGACTGTGGACCTTCCTTACTAACTTCCTTTACTGTTGACTGAAATTGCAGGGGCAGCTGGAGGCACTGAGATTTCAGAAATTTCTGTATGGTAAAATATTATGGGAACTTAGCCCATCTCTCACATATTTCTAAATGTGTAGGCAGTTTACTGAAACTTCTCACTCAATGACATTTCTCTTGGAGTTTGGTTATCCTAGTCAAATTCAACAAAGTTATGTCTATGTGAATGTGTGTATTTGGTAAAAGCTAGATTTCTTTTAAATGTTTGAAAATTTAAGATGAAAATATTCTTAGACTTAGGCATTGAAAAATTCATACCTTGTCCAGCAAATTTCCTGACAATCTCCCCACATATCCAGCCAATTGGCCTAAGAGCCATTTTTTTATACTTGCTACCACTAGAAGATAGTGTCTTCCAATCAAACAAATGGTTCAGGCCACAAATGACAGTATCCCATACATATGCATATAGCTACCTTCAAGGCATGAGACCTTTATGAGAACATAATGTACCTCTCAAACTCAGTACAGCCAGAGGCAATCAGTGTGTATCATGTATACCAAATTACCCTCATTTTAGCAGACAGGACTTTCAAATAGTTCCAATATACTGTATGAGATAACCTGAAAACTGGGACAACCTCACCAGATTTATAATCATTAGCAGTCTGAAACTCAAAATTCAAGACTAATGGGGATGGGGGGAGGGAACAGAATTTCTGGGTTATAAAAAATTCAGAACAAATGAAATGTTCCAAATTTCATACCCTTGAATTTTAAAATGCAAGCCTCTATTTCTCAAGATCAGGACTCAAGATTTCCTGATTTCCATCCCATTTCGTATAAAAGTATTTCGATTTCAGAACCCCTCCAAAATGTTTTCATAATTAATTCTCTTTCCTAAATTTCTCTCTTGTATTCCCTAATTGTGATTGCCTTCACATGAGATTACAGACTCTCAAGCATTACATTATATGCAAATTAGTTATTGTAATAACTAATAGTATTGTAATAAAAGTTTGAAATACATGTTATTTTCAGAGAAACATATAGCTGAAAAGCTCATATGATTCAGAGTTACACATGAAATGTCTTAGATCTGAAGGTCAAATAGAAAAAGCAATGTTTATGGAGATTCTTAATGTTACAAAAATAACACTCATTATTAATGACTGGTATAGCACGCTGCTTTATATAATACACCAATACCGTGTCTGATTATTCACATTTAGATGAAATAATTTCAGCAAGCAAATATAAAAGGAAAAAGTCACTTTATTTTGATAATATCCCCTTTTCACATGACAAAACATATTTGCACAGCTTTCTATGTTATGAAATGCCACCTCAACATTTTATTTTTTTAAATCCATTGTGCATTGGCTTTGTCAAATAAAAATACATCTAATAAATAATTTACATAGCGGTTTACTTTTGCTGGTTTTTGGAATTCCAATATTTTATACTCTTCAGCAAATGTTGATTTATTAGGCACATAAAGCTCCAGAAAATCAATAAAATTAATTGAAAATATTGGTATATTTTTATTTTTTTAAAAAAGAGAAGTTACAGAATATAATTGAGAACAAATATTTAAATATTATTATGTAATTAAAACTGCTTTAAGATTTAAAGTGTTCATTTAAACACATTTTAAACAGCTTTGTTGTGCTACTTAATCTACTATTACATTTCATAGTAATATATGCATTATTTAAATATCAGCTGTTTTTGAATCGTTATGTAGTCAATTCAAAATATTTTAATATTATTTAAGTTGTCCTTCTTCTAAGACTTCAAATATATCGTCTAGTGTGCACCGAAGACATCTCAGATGTTCATCTAATTCCTGTTCCAAATAGCTAGTAATGACACATCCTACCCAGGTCTCAAACACATTATATCCAATCCCAAAACCATCTGGCACTACTGGTCCAAATCCACCATGATTAACTGCTGGAGTGCTTAGTGTACTGGTTGAAATGTTAATGTGGTTTATGTTTTTATAGGCTGGATCTTGATAAATATCAGGAATAGTTCCACCTCTGCACTGGACAAGGTACTTCAGAGCAAATAAGTGGCGATCAAATCCTTGACCTGGATTAAAAAAAAAGGCAGATTCATTGAATATAAAAAGTGAGTAGGATCATTATGCTATGAACACATTATAGATATGTACAAAACATGATGAAAGCAAGCAGCATCTAACTATATATATATATGTTTTCTGAGGTTTTCGCGGGTGTTTGTATGTAGGTCTTTGGTTGTTCGGGTTTTCTCCCGCGTAAAATTGGAAGTGTCTTGGTGACGTTTCGACGAAGTCCCATTCGTCATCTTCAGGCTGGTGTTTTCAGCTTCGTGCTTCGAGCAGCAATGTGTGCTCTTAGCTGTTTCTTCCTTTTAACTGCTAGTGGGGGTATGAACTGATTGGGTGGGAGCATGGCTGTGTTCTGATTGGGTGGAGGTGTGTTCTGATTGGTTAGGGGCTTGGCTGTGCTGTGATTGGCTGGGGGGTTGGCTGTGCTCTGATTGGCTGGGGGCGTGTTCTGTTTGGTTGTGCTCAGGTTAGTCTGAGTTTTTGACTGAGTTCTTATGTTCTTCAATGCATGCACTTATTCTTCTGTTGGTTTGTCCGATGTATGTGGTGGGACAAGTGGTGCATGGGATTTCGTATACTCCTTGATTTTCTAATTCAATTTTATCTTTGGGGTTTCTAAGGATGGTGGATATTTTTCTGTTTGTGCAGAATGCTGTTTTGATGTTGTGTTTATGGAGGATCTTACTGATTCTGTCTGTGGTGCCGTTTATGTATGGGAGGAGGGCTTTGCCGTTTTCTTGTTCTTTGTCTTGGATTTTAGTGGGGATTTCTTTTTGGATTAGGTTTGTAATCTTATTTCTTTGGAATCCATTGGATGTTAGTACATTGGTGAGAGTGTGTAGTTCGGTTTTTAGGTGTTGTTCGTCAGCTAAGCGTTTTGTTCTGGAGATGAGTGTCTTGGCTACAGAGTTGATCTGTGCTGGGTGGTGGTGTGAGAGAGCGTGCAGATAGCGGTTTGTGTGTGTTTTCTTCTGGTAGATGGTGTGTCCTAGGGAGCCATTGGATTTCTTGTAGACTAAGACATCCAGGAAGGGAAGTTGGTTGTTAGCTTCTGTTTCCATGGTGAACTGTATTTTGGGGTGTAGGCTGTTGAGGTGTGTGAGGAAGTTGTCCAGTTTTTCTTTCCCATGTGGCCAGATTATGAAGGTGTCGTCTACGTATCTGAGCCAGAGTTTGGGTTTGTGATCCGATTTTTCTAGAGCTTGGGTTTCAAAGTGTTCCATGTAGAGGTTGGCAATGACAGGTGAGAGGGGTGATCCCATGGGTGCTCCTTCTGTTTGTTTGTATTTTTGTCCATTATAGATGAAGTATGTGTTGGATAGGCAGTGGTTGGTCAGATCTAAGATGTGTTTGGGGGGGTTATATTTGTTTTGGATAGCTGTCAAGGCTTCTTTGATAGGCACTTGGGTGAAGAGGGATATGACATCGAAGCTCACGAGTAGGTCGCTGGGCTGTAAGTTTTGTTTCTTTATGATCTCTATAAACTGGAATGAATTTTTTACATGTGAGGTGATGGATTCTGCATAGGGCTGTAGTTGTTTGGCGAGAAATTTGGCTAGGTTTTGTAGAGGTGAGCCTATGGAGCTGACTATATATATATATATATATATATATAGTTTTCTGAGGTTTTCGCGGGTATTTGTATGTAGGGTTTTCTCCCGCGTAAAATTGGAAGTGTCTTGGCGACGTTTCGACGAAGTCCCATTCGTCATCTTCAGGCTGGTGTTTTCAGCTTCGTGCTTTGAGCAGCAATGTGTGGTCTTAGCTGTTTCTTCCTTTTAAAATTAAATTAAATTAAAATTAAAAGGAAGAAACAGCTAAGACCACACATTGCTGCTCAAAGCACGAAGCTGAAAACACCAGCCTGAAGATGACGAATGGGACTTCGTCGAAACGTCGCCAAGACACTTCCAATTTTACGCGGGAGAAAACCCGAACAACCAAAGACATATATATATATATATATATATATATATATATATATATATATATTCACTCTGAAGACTCATTAATACCAACAAATCAACATAATCAACATTTCTTGCACTGAAGTCATGGAATTCAGAGTGCTTCATATTTGGTTGACTGTGGGATCTGATTAGGTTTGGTCCTTTATATGATTTCTGATTTCCAGTAGCTGTGCAAGGAAATAACTCCTCCTACTTTATCATATTAAATTATAAATATTATAACTCTCCAAAAAGAGACTGAATAGTTTTACAGTGCACTAAGACATGAACTAATTTGTATGCTTTTGCTTGAGTTGTGACATGTATCTAGCCATTGAGCTTTATATAATTTGGGCTATGATTTATTAATATGTGGGTATATAAATGATTTATGATTTATTAATATGTGGGTATATAAATCCAAATATTTATGGCTTATACAATAAATTGCAGTTAAGTACTGTATTATCAGTACGGTGTATCTGCTTTCTGCTTTTAGTATTTTAAGTTATTATTTTATCTATTTTTTTTCCTCCCAAACTTTTTCCTCATTCTGTTCTCTATTTACTTTTTCATCTTCCCTGTTAAACATTACTTCGTTATTATTTAAAATACCAAATAGCATTTATAAATGACAATAAAAACAATCTGATAACTTCAGAATTTTTCATGGGATCCTAATTGGCAGTATATGCAGAGACACACACATAGAGACATACACACAAACACCAGCCCTAATTTTGTCAGAAGGAATACAGGATGCTTATGAAAATATCTTTTTATCTGTTTTTCACCAAACATTCAAAAACCAACTCTACAAACAAATGTAACTTGAAATTTAGCTACTTACCTGTAACTATGGTTGTTTGAGTGATCATCTGTCCAACAAATACAAGGGTTCTGTGCCTGCACCAAGCTCAACCAGAAATCTTCTGTAGGTGGGATTTCTGGCAGAAAGTGTATCCCTACTATGCATGCTCCTAGAAGAAACTCCTGCATTCCCCTCAGTTCTCAAGAGACTGTCATTTCAGTTCAGAAATCAGGAATACCTACCAAGGTAGCAAGGAAAATTGTGGCTGAGTAAATGCATGGATGACAAGACAAAGAACTATAGTTACAGTTAAGTAATCTATTCTTCATTATGGTCTCTGGGCAGCACATATATGGATAATAAGTAAGAGAATCTTGAAGGCTGTGTGTCAAGTATTATAGTTATGAAAGCACAGAGGATAATTCTGCTCTACCACAATTGGCATTTACTCTTGCCAAAAGTCTACTTGGTAGCGTCTTACAAATGTCAGCTGGTTGAACCAAATAATTTCTTTATAGAGGTCCAACCAAATCCCATGAGAAAGAACTCTATAAATTGATGTTGGCATTTCTCACACCATAGAGAAGCAGCAAATGGTGTGAGATAAGCCAATCAATAATATAAAGCAACAAGGGATTTATACCAGATTGCATAATATTGTAAAGAAAATTTTAAAAGCAGAGAAGAACAGAACTCCTTGATGTTGCCTAAACAAAATGTCATGGATCACTGTACATCCAGTGAAAAAAGAGTGTTCTTGGAATGGAGAAAAGAGTGCAATAAGAGTGCATTACTAGCTTATTTAAAAGGTAATTCCAACTCACTTTTGGAAAAGAAAATCCAATCCATTTGCAGTATCATCTTACCAAGATGTAATTATAGAAATGGAGTGAGTCTCTCTAAGAACATACAACTCATGGGTAAGCTGACATAACCATTACAAAGAAACCTAATTTAAAGAGACATAGATTTTTAGTGGCCAGTGGCTAAATGGCTGCCTTGTGAATTAGGAGTGCATGATAGAAAGATTCCATTGTGCCACTGACTGCCAGGAAGACATAAGATGAAACATTAGGTTGTTTCTGACATGGAAGTAGTGTTTAAAAAGTCATATATTTTAGAAGAAATTCTATCACATTCTTTTAACAAGTTTTGTTCATAGAAGATTCCCAAATGAAGGTAACAAATACAGGGATCACGCACCTTCCCATATTCAAAATTAAGAGAATGTGCAGCTGTAGGAGTTGAACCCTGAAATAAATTCAATTAGAAAAAGAAACAAGCTGGAGTGTCTTTTTGTTGCTAGATTCTGAAAGCATTTTGGTGAAGTACATCAAAAGATAACTGTGATGATCTTTAGAATTCAGTAAGAGTAGGATTTCATCTGATTTCTAGAAAAACGTTTTTTTCTTCCTACAACATCAATCACAGTGAATATTCAGAGCTATTATAAATAATTATATTGAAAGTGTTTCCCTATCAACTGAACTTTGTGCACTGGAGTAGGATAGAGGCAACTGGCTGAAAATTAATGACATTTGGGGGGAAAGTGTATTTATGACCATAGAACAGAATGAAAATACTTTTTCAGTATTTGCCCCCAAAGTCTAGGGTGTTATACAGCCAATATGGTTGACACCATGAATCTGAGCAAGCACTGAATAGCAGAAGCCAAATCTGAGAATGTTGACCTGTGGTAAACATTGTCCATGGGGTCGCGATGGGTCGGACACGACTTCGCAATTAACAACAACAAAATGGGTGAAAGGTAAAAGAAAAATGGCTTAGTGATGAGTCTAGAAAGTGCATACTACCTGAAAGTCCAACTAGATGCCAATATACAGTCAAACTAAAGAAGGGATCAGAAAAGCTTTGCTGTTTAAGCCATGAGTCCCAGTCTATTTTCACTGAGTAGATTGGACTTGTTTTTTGTTTAACAATAGATGAGATAATGAAGCTATAAGTCAGTGATCAATGTAAATTTGAATGTCCAGGAGGTGGAGATGTGCCACTAGTCTGCATTTGCTGGAGAGCACCTGAAACTGGAGACAAGTGCTCCGCAGTGTAAAACAGATACCGTACTTCTAGTGAGATGAGTGAAGGGCTAATTGAAAGCAAACATCTTTATTATATTCATGATCTACAATGCAAATAAATCCCTTCGATAGGAAAGAAGAAAGTTGTTTTACAATCTCATTTGGCTAAATTTCAAAGCTTGAATTTATCTGGTGACCATTAAGATGTAGTATTAATTGTTCCTCTCCTTTTGGCTTTGCTACTCAGTAATAAAAATTAGTCTTAGATGGAATGATAGAAGAGGCTTGATTGGAACTTGAGGTTTTTCCTACAAGAGAACAATCAAATGGTTGGACTGGCAGGAGAGTATGACAGACATCTTTGTGTGTTCCCTGCTGTTGGATAATTATAATCACTCTAGTCAATACTGAAATATCCAATGTAATACTCTATAAGGCTTTAGATAGTGAGGGAGCCTGAAATGAAAGAAAGGATCATCTGATACAATCACTATGTTAAAAGATACACCATGCTTCTATATTGCTCTCACAATGTGCCACCAACGTCCATGTGACCCAGCACCAGAGTACCAAGGGTGAAACTGAGAAGCGGATGAAGAGTTAATTGGATGTATACCTATCCACTAGCAATGTTTTTAAATCCTTTGTAATCTGCTAACTGTCTGTGTCCTGGCAGAGTAGGCCTTCTAGTCAGTTTTGAACCTCTGAAAACTCTGTGATAGCCAAGCATAGGTTCAAATTAAATGACCTCTATCAGGAATGTAGAGGTCCAGTCAATACTCATTTGTTGTTTAGAAAGCTGCAGAGCCCTTGGGAGTAAAATGATATCAAACTCCTTTTTGTGGTATGCTAAATAAGACAGAAAAGAAACTATTTTCTCCAAGAGAAAAACTTAGCATGCTTGAACATTTGGAATCCAAATTTTTTTATTTCTTTGGAAGCTGGATTTGCTGCAAATCCTTAGCTAAATGGAAAAAGTCTGAAAAGACTGGTGTTGTCCTATGTATATAAGCTTCAGATGAACAAACATTTCAGAGTGTCAGCATGAAAAGCTGGCTGTGCTACTTGAAGACTAAGGGCTTTGGGTATAGGCAATATACTAAAATAATAACCAGTGGAGATTCTATTATATAAATCTAATTCAGCTGGTACCACAAAATAAGACAGATGGGATTCTGGAGATTAGGTTCTCTGAATGCAGCTGGTAGTTATCTTGAACAGGTGGCAGTGTGTTAGGGCAAAGATTGTCAAGTCTGTACTGGGTGATTTGTTCAGACGATCACATCAGTTTATCCAAAAAGGCTACTTCAATCCTAGCAAGGTTCTATACCCTTGGAATGATCTACAATGGCAAATGAAACTGGTAAAAAGGATCAGACTGTTTTATCCCTTAGCAAATGTAGTTTTTGTTGGCTTAGCAGTTGGCTTGACTTACTGATAGACAGAATGGAAAAAGCAGAGTAATAGTAACATTTGATTTGATTCTCTCTGAAAAGAAATTGCTTGTATCAGTGCAGCTTATTACTCCATTTAAGAAATGAGGTTCTTTCTATTTGCTTACTTTCCCAAATTCCAAAAGGGAGTGGGGGAAGGCAAAATTATTAGTTCTGGTTATGTTTATCCAATTAGGAGTGCTTTGGGGTGCCTGAGAAGCATTGGTGGACCAATATTTGTTACCTTTGGCCTAGGAGCATGAATTGTATGGATTCACTTCCTGCTAAAATCTCAGTTAAAGAAGGTTCCAGATACAGTTTCAGTGCAAACACAGAATACCTATGCCTTTTGCACAGAGACCACAATAATGAAGAACAAGTATTATTATATACCTATGCCTGATCCATCATCTTCAATCTTCACAATGTTTGGGCTTCAACTTTACCCCTATCCTATTACTGGAGGAAAAGCTAGCTACTCCCAGAAGGCTAAAATGGTGAAGGCCTGCTTGATTCCAGCAAAAAAGGTATTTCACAGGACAGTGGCTCTATTGATACAATAGTTACTAAATTAAAGAGCATTTTTTTCTTTGTAATTATAATAATCCCAAGCCAAAATTCCACATAATTTTTAGAAGATAAAGAATGTATATAAATATATAATTCTGGAGCATATGGGATGATCTGGATATTATTCAGCTTATATTATACTTATAAGTGACTTCCTTCCTTCTATTGTATGATTCCCATATAGAACTGTAATCCAATGTTTGATTATTGCTGTTTCCCCCACTCCAAAGTCTTCCTCTAATACAAATATCTTTTATTTAATAAAAAATAATCACGCATCCCCTTTTAAAATATTTTGTGCCCTATCTTCCATTTGGACAGATGATATTCTCTCATTTAAATAGATGTTATTGGTAGTCCCAGTTTAATAAACACTTGGTTGTTAAGTGAAGCAGTTGCTAACTGTACTTACTATTTTATTTTGGCTTTTACTTTATAGACCTTTGAAGGTTGTAAATGCAAGAATTGATCATAAAGTTATTTCTTCATCACTGTTGTTAACTGCAAAGAGTTGCTAAACAAAAACTACCTTTAGTAAATATTGGTTAATATAATTAAAAAGCAATATAGTCCTCAAGTCAAGCTCAATTCTTGATGAAGGCTATGGCAGTTTCTTGACTGATATGAAAAAAATCTTGACAATCAGATTTAATTAGTGCTTGGATTGGGATCACCAGGAAATCCCAGCATTGTAGAAGTTGAAAAAAAATATTGAATAAGGCAATATCTAGCAATCCATTTTCATAGTGTCCAGAAGGAAACAAAAAGATGTATCCTTTAACAGTTTGCAAAACTAGCATTTTTCTTCCAATAATTAAAAAAACCTATATAGTATAGCAGTGGTATTGGATTAGAGATGGGGAGAGTAGGATTCAAATCCCCATTCAACTAGGAAGCATAATGACTTGAGTTACTTAGAAGACAGATATAAATGAAAGAATTAAAGTTTAAAAATTGTTGCTACATTCTATATTTATCTGTAACTTCATATCATAACTATAACTATAATAAAGGTAGAACTAGGAACTATGGTAATTAAACTATGTGAAAATTTCTAACTATCCTTTCCATAAAGTACATCCTACAATGGAAACCTCATTTTCATATTCTATAAACTTAAAAGACACATAAATAGTTATTTGACAGTCCAAATAAGTATCATTATTAGACTTTATCACAAGACTTAGTTAAAACAAATAACAAAGTATTGAAAAGACCTAACCTAATGTAGCATCCAATTGCAAGCGTTTGTGGTACTTTGAACATTCTTCAATCATATTTCTCATATCTTGAATGCTATGCTTTCCTCGTTCCGCAATAAATGCATCTGTACACCTTTTAGTGTACACAGATGTTGGTCGAATTGTTTCAGTGCGACCATGTTTAAAAGCTGCAGTACTACATGCTTCATAAGAAGGAAGAAACTTTCCATACTGATGATAGACAGCCATTTGACAAGCAAGTTGAAAAATAGCATCTGGACTCAAGTTTTTATTCACTATATAATCTTTCCCATATTTTTCATACCTAAATGATTTTACGAGAAACTTTTTCAATGTTTCATCAAATTTCTTACGTGCAGCATTTATTGCAGATGTTATTGAATGATTCAAATTAAATTCAAGCTTGTCACAAGATGTAACAAATAAAGCTGGACTGGATCCTGGCAGAAGAGCTGGACGCTCTGTACTGTCTCTATAGACTTCATTAATGAAACGCAGAATCGCAACACCATCTCCCCAAGAGTGTTCAAAATTTATTCCTGCATTTCCATCACTAGTGACAATCAGACTAAAGGATTTGTCAAACCAGCGATTAAAGCCATATCCATGAAGAAAACAATGAGTTACTTCAATTTCATCTTGCGGGGAAGCATTATCTAAACAAAGGCAGAAGACCGAACTGTCAATTTTCTTCAAGTTTTCTTCATTACCATTTTGGACAAGTTGCTGCCTTACATTTGCCCAAGTATTTCTTTCTTCAGTTGTGAGACATGAAAGTTCAGATCTAGGCAAGCGATCAGCATCAAATATTATTTGTGCTAAATGAGCTTGAATTTCAGATGGATGTAGAATGTTGCCAAAAGGATCCAGTACTTCAAAAACATAAAGATGACCATTTCTCATCACCAACAAATGTCTTGCAAATTCACTTGTAAATAATGTATCCTTACTTAAATTAGGTATCCTGGTACTATTGAAGAGAGATTTATACTGTGACATGTCTAAAGGATAAGCATTCACTAAATATGCTCCATACCAGGATAGAGTAGGTGGAAGAGCGCGGATGAAGTGTTTGAACATTTTACTTTGACCCCATTTGCGGTTTACATAATATATATCTGGCCGTAAATAGTCATTCTTCAAGGAGTTAAGAAATTTTAACGCTGAAACAACAAGATTGGTTGCTCTAACTACTTGATTATTGTATCCAGGTTTGGGATCAGGATTTAAAGAAATGAAAGGGTTGTAGTTGAAAACAACTGGATCCCTCGAAGAAAGGTACATGTCATACCAGGGCCCTACAAAAATAAAAACAATTCAGTTAACAAAATACAGTTAAACATTTGATATATAAACTTGGAAAACTGCAGTTTGAATAGATGTATTACGGAAAATTAAACAGGTCCCTTCAAATCTGCTTCATTCTTCATTTTTTTTAAATACCAGAAAAGCTGCATTTATTTTTGTAACTTTCTGTAAAACATACAGCCTTTCTTAGTATACAATTTTAAAAGACAAATATTTTTAATATATGTGTCTGAGTATGCTCTTAGTTATGATCTGTGAAGTTAGCAATAAAGAAGCCAAGGAATATAGTGAATGCATAATGTTTAGATTTTTTACTGAGTTCTTCAGTTTGGCTTTTTGTACCATGTAATTGATGTATGGCATATGATCCTCCAGCATTTCCCGAATATAAGAACGTAGCTTGTTATTCATAGCACCAATACAGCATTCTATTTCCATTCTTTTCACAGGATTAAATCAATTCATTTATTTCTTATAAACAATTAAGATTCTAGCACAGCGGTTCTCAACCTGTGGGTCACAACCCTTTTGGGGATCGCATGAGCCTTTCACAGGGGTCGCCTAAGACCATCGAAAAACACATATTTCCGATGGTCTTAGGCAGGGCTTGTCAACCGCCTTCTCTTCCCCCCCTCCACTCCACCTCACTTGTTTGTGGAAAATATGCTGCTTGGCGGCAGTCTGCACAAACTCTACCAAATGTGCCCTGCAGGGGGTGCATGAAGAGCGCAGGCACAGAGCAAGGCTCTGCCCTCCCCAGAGACTCATTGTGCAGCAACCGGATTGACTTCTTCTTGTGCACGCAGGTCAGCGAAGGGGAGGCCACCGCAGCACCCAACTCCTGCGCCCGTCAGCTGGCGACCCCCGAACTTGTGCTTGTCAGCCAGGAGGTCTGGCGATGGCCGCCGGTCTCCTTTGCCACCCCGCCCATCCTCCTCTGCCCGTTCATGTCAAGCCCACCGGGGCTTGATAGGGAGAGAAGGAGGAAAGGAGGAAGGGACTCCTCCTCCTCTCCTAAGCTTCAAAGCACGATCGGCTTCCCAAGGGCGCCACAATCCTTATGAAAGCAGGGGAGAAGCAAAGGGGGTGAGAAAGCTCATGGCGGGCTCGAAGGAGCACCTGTCAGCGTTGGTGACAAGAAATTCCCCACAAACCCAGGGAAGGGGTGTAGAAAAGGAGCCCCCTTTGGGAGGAAATGCCACCTTCTTCTCCTTGGCTTTGCGCTCTTCTGTTCCTCGGCAGCCAGGCTGCCAAGCCTCTGCTGGCTGGAACTTCCTTTCCTTCCCTCCTTCTTGGTCTCTTCCTCCTTCCCTCCCTTTCCCATTGTCCCTTCCTTCACCTCCCTCTTTGTCCCTCCTTCCCTCCCTCTTTCCCCTTGTCCCTTCCATCCATCCTTCCTTCCTTCCTTCCCTCTTGTCCAGGATCGGGGTGAACCCTATAGCTGATCCGCGCTTCTGCAGAGCAGCCAAAAAGCAGGTCAGCTGTAGCAGCTCTCCTTGGCTCCTGTCCAGCAAACTTGCTCAAGCTTTGCTAGAAAACATGCTGCTTGCTAATTTAGCAGAAGCGCGAATCAGCTGTAGCACGGCGCTGAACCTGGGGCTTCTGCTAACTTAGCAAGTGGCATGTTTTCTGGCAAAGCTGAGCAAGTGAGCTGGGTGGAGTTCTCCTCTGCCTCTGGCAGCTTGTCCCCCTCCCCTTGTCCCTTCCTGGTCATGAAGGGGGGGAGGAAGGAAGGGACGAAGAGGGAGGGAAGTAAGGGACGAAGAGAGAGAGGGGGAAGGAAGGAAGGGACAAAGAGGGAAGGAAGGAAGGAGACAATGTAACACTCTGAACGTTCTGAGCCACTGTGATGTTTCGAATCCATGAGCGTGAAAGTACCAACCCACAAAGCTGTAAGCGCTGCAGCAGGGATGGAAAGGGGAGCCCCTCGCTCTTCCAACTCTCACGCTGCTTAAGGCTTCACGTACGGCAAGCCACCGAGGCCAATTTCCTCCGTGAGAAGAGAACGCTTTCCCTCTGCTCCCCCCATTGCATAACCTATTTTTTAAGCTTAGGATAAAAAAACCTACAGTTTCAAAACAGATACTATGCTTATAAAGCCAGATCATCAAAGACAAATTATATTTGTTCAATACAAATAGTTAGCAAATAAAAAGCTTAAATAATGTAAGTCTGACTCAAGAATAATCAAGAATATTAAAAACAAACCTGATATATAACTTGTATGGTTATTAATCCGATCATGTTCAAGAAGATCACGATGTATGATCTTCCCTTCTCCTTTTCCAAACTCTGTAGCAATTTTTACAGTATGTCTAGAAATTACAAATGGATTATGATTATTATATTGCACTTAAATAGGCATTTAAATTATAATTGTATAATTATAACTACATTTATAATTTATTATTTAATTATAATAAAATATTTTTCCATATATGTTAGTGGTCAGGAACTTTTCCAGATCCTGTGCACAATCATGTGGGAACAAACATATTAAAGTCCATGAAATTGTCCAGTATTGTGAGATTTCAGTGTTTCTAGCTAACCTCAGAAGATTTTGGAAAAATTGTCTTCCACAAAACCGGTCCCTGATGCCAAAAAATGATGGGGATAGCTGTTTAAAGGCATCAGGTTAGAAATTGGGAGACTGTGAGTTGTAGTCCTGCCTTAGGCACAAAGTCAGCTGCTTAGTCTTGGGCCTCAGAAAGTGACAATGGCAAACCACTACTGACAAAAACCTTGCTAAGAAAACTACAGGAATTGGTCCAGGCAGTTTCCAAGAGTTAGACACAATCAAACAGAAGAAGGAAAAAAGTCACATTTACACACTTCAGGCTATACAATACTGCTGTGGATACATACACTCATGCCAAAGATTTCACTGAAAAATTAAAAAATGCCACAATGGAAAAATTACCTAACACTGCCTGTATTTTATATGTAACAATGTAACAATAATCCAAAGAATTTTGGCTTATGTTCATGTGCAGAGCGTTACCTGATCACTTTGTTTGGCTCCCCACGTTAGTCAAAGAAGCTAAAGTAACCAGAACTAAGCAGAAAGAAAAGCTGTAAAATAGAATTTCTGCTCTTGCATTCTACTTAGAAACCAGACTATAGAAACAGTATCTATAGTTAGTTTCTAAGATTGTTGAGGAGACAATTAGTTCACAACTAGTGAAACAAACTAAGTTGGAAAAATTGGGAAAGAAGCAACACTACATTCTTACTGATCATAAATGATAAGACAGAGTTCTATAGAATTTTGACCTAGTGCTATGTATAAATATGCTGTTTAGTCCACTGATTTGATCAATAGCTCTCTAGAGTTCCAGACAATAACTTTGCTCAGTAAATCAGGAGATGTTGAAGACTGTATCTGGAATTTTTTGGGGTGTGTGTGTGCAAAACAATAATTCAGCATTGCCCTATAATTTATCCTTTAGGCGAAACCAGCAAGAGAAAATACACTAAGAAAACAAAGAGTTGACTAAGGTACCAAATACAATATTTACAGAGTAACAAGTATTTTGTATATTTTAATCTATTTATATTTTTTAAAATATAATTGCTATATCTGTTCTTTTATTATACAATTATATAATGTTTTTTCTTATACCTGTATTGTTGATCATTCAATAATGGCTTCTGAGCAGCTAAGTATCTATTGATAGTGTCCTCCAGTTTAGGAATAGGTAACCTGAAAATAGATATCATTAACAAATTATAAATTAGCTTTTTAATATCAGTCCTCTCATCTCATTTATGAACTTAGTTGTCATTTATTTACAGTTTTTTTTGAGGGGCATAATATTAGTTCCATCAAGGAGAATGGCAACAATCCCTTGCTCACAGATGATTACCTTAACCCAGCCTCTAGTCACCTTCCTGGATGTTTTCTCTAACTAGGATAGACAGAGATACAGACTAGATGTAGCAAAGTAATTCAGTACAACCATATGGATGAGTAGCTGTCCCCCCCCATTATTCCAAAACTGAAGCAGCATTTAATAACACGAGTCTTACAATTAAGTTAGACTTATTTGTATTATATGTGTTGTAATATCCTCCCAATAATCAAAAGGTATCCTGGCCATTCCAACACTACTCATCTCCTTAAGGACAAACAGACTGTGATTACAGTGCAGGTGGCCAGATTCTGCGCAGCAGCACTGGAGATTCTCAGAAACATGTGATTAATCCACCATTTTATACAACTAATGCAGCAAACCCTTTTGCGTTACTATTCTTTTGCATTTTAATATTCAATGACCATGAGCCTCACAGTTTGATTGATATTATAGTATAGCTAGGCCATGCTGCATTTTGCTCATGAGTAACTGACAGATTGGATGCCAAATTGTGATGTTAATATAGATTTTATCTCTTATTTATTATTTTATTTTAGAAATTTTTGGCAGATGTTGAGTGTTTTTAATTTGTTCTAGTCTCTGACTGTAATAAACTTACTTAACTTGTGTTGTAATAGATCTTTGAAATAGTAAAGAATTGTTATTTCATAAAATCTAACTTAATAAATCTTAATTATAAAAATAATATCTAGGTTTATTTTTAAACATAGAATCCTTACTGCACTGAGGTTAGTTGTTTGATTGCAGATATTTCTTTACCCAACTAGGTAACATTATTGGTGAAAGTAAGCAGGAGGTTTACTTCCTGATGGGAGTGTGGTTTTTTCCCCCCTTTGGTAGTTCCTTGACTAGGGTATTTTTTTCTACTTGATGTTTGTCTGTTAATCCCTGCTTATCTGAATTTGGACTGCTGGAGACTTGTGTTCTGGTCTTTTTGTTTCCTTCTTAGCTTTTTTAATTTTCTCTTTTGAATATTGTGTAAATATGGTTTATCTCTATGTGTCTACTGATAGCTGATTTGTCAGAATGCCAAGCTTCCAGGAATTCACTAGCATTTTTGAATTTGGCTTGGTCTAACAGTTTCTCAGTTGAAACTGTAGTTGAGTCTCTCCATGTATTGTGAGATTAAAGAGTTTTCATTGTGTCTTCTGTCATTCATGGATGCACTCTGCTAATCGCCCATTCATCTTACACAATGGCTGTTCATACAGTGTATAATGTAGATGACTTCTGTTTTTCTTGGGCAATTGGGTCTTTTGGTTTGCTTAAGATATTTCAGAGTGTTGTGGTTATACTGTGTAGTTATAATAGTCTGTTGGTTGTTTCTGAGATCTTTTTGATGTGTGGTAGTATTGTCCTTTTCATGGCTTGTGCTGGTTGTGCTGTAGTGGGTTGAGCAGTCAGGCACTTTTTGTTAAAGTTCCATAGGTATCCATTTTGTTTGTAGATGTGCTTCCTTTTTTCTAGATTGCTACAATGCATTTATGCTCATCTGAATAATGTTCTTACACAGCAAACAAAGGATGAACCATAGACAGAACACAATACATACAGACAGCCAAAGAATTACTGGAGGACAAAGAAATCTATATCCCCATAAAAACCATCCATTACAGAAACTGGACAATCAGATCAAGAGAACCCTCAATGACCTAACCAAGAAAGGGTAAAATCACAAAAGAACAGTGATAGATGAAAAGCATAAAACAATACCCTAATCAAGGAACTACTAAGGAAAAAAGCATACCTCCATAAGCCAAAACTACTCTAAGCAAATTCCATATTTAATCACACTGATGAGATTGCCTATTTGGGTAATGAAATGTCTGCAAGCAAACAGCCAGGCTCAGAGAGCACAAGAACTTCATAGTTCAACCCTGAGCTACATATAGTTTCTTTTATTAAATTAAGTATTTCCATACTTGATAGATTTGTTCTTAAGTGACTGTCTTCCAAAACTACTTTGCTTCAAACATTTATAAAAATTATTTTAGAAGGACTTCCGGTGGTTAGCGTCGATGGTGGCAGCTACATTGTAGCCGTCCTCCTGGGACAGCGTGAGAACCGCGGAATACAGCAGTCACCAGCTGTTCCGCGGCTCGAAATCTCCCTCCCGGGCGAAGGGAGGGGGGAGAGAACCACCCGAATAGAGGTAGAGCATCTCAAACCCCCCCGGGATTTTTTTGGGGGGGTAGAGAGCTTCCTCGGAGTTCGGGTTGCCTCCGCCTCCCAGCTGTCTTTGTTTCCTTTGGGAAACAAAGTGAAACGCCGCTACCATCTCCGCGTTTAAAGAGACAGGGTGAGTGATTTTTTTTTATATATAAAGCGGACAGAGCTGGATAAAGGATTTGGTTTATTGAGTTTTATTTGCTTTTTAGTTCAGGTTGATCTTTTTCTTTTTGTTTTTTTTGTTCGTGTGGAGAGTGAAAGTAAAATGGCAATTTGAAAGTTTTTTTCGGGGGAAAAAGAAAGTGAGTCAAACGGAATGCTATGGACTATATAGTTTTTTCTTTTTTCTTTTTAAGCTTTTTCCTCTTTTTTTGGAAAGTGGTCCTGTGTTTTTGAAATATCTTTTAAACTCTCCTTTGTTTTTTTTAACTTTTTGAGCATTTTTTTTTACAAAGTGGAAATAAGAAAACAATTTTTTTTTAAAATGGCTTCAAAAAGACAAGCAGCTTCTACAGTTCCTAAGGTGGCTTCTTCTCCTGCGATTTTACCGGTACAACAACCTAAAGCTACACCACCATCTTCTCCTCCTCTGCCAGTAATATCTGTACAAGATATGAAAGATATAATGGGAAATGCAGTAACTCAAATCAGAGGGGAAATGAAGGAGCTTCTAGATCAGAATAAAACTGAAATTAGAGGGGAAGTGAAGAATCTGTTGGAGCAGAATAACACCATTTTGAGGCAAGATATAGTTATGGCTCTATCAGGTCTTGCTTCTGTGGTTGAGAAGCTTGACTCTAGAGTTGAAGAGGTTGCAGACAAGGTTGACATCTTGGAAGATAGATTTGAAGGCATGGAAAAAAAGATGGAAATTTCACAGGATGACATTGTTATGTCTCAGTACAGAGAAATGGAATATGCCTTAAGAATTAGGGGTCTCAAAGAAGATATGCAGCAAGACCTGAGAGAGATTGTGGTAAATGACTTTGCTGTTATTTTGAATAGGGAGAAAGAGGAAATACGCAGAGAGGTTGAAAAATTATTCAGAGTTAACTCCTGGATTGCAAAACAGAGAAACTTACCAAGAGATGTGGTGGTTTATTTTGGAAAGAGATCTCTGCGCAATGAAATCATACAAGCCTTTTATAATAAGAGATTCCAGATTGCTGCTCAAGATATTATTATTTTAAAGGAGATCCCATCTAAAATTCTAAGAAAGAGAAAAGACTTTGCTTTCTTATCTAATGAACTTAAAAAAAGAATGATGCCATTCAGATGGGAGATTCCGATGGGTATTGTTCTGAGCCATGCGGGGATGCGTTATAGACTTAATACAGTCACTAAAGCAAAGGAGTTTTACAGTTCGGTCCTGGGAGCAGGCTCACCATCATCTATGATGCAGAAAGTTCTGGATGGTAAAGAGGTTGAACAGCAGTCTGAAGGACCAGGTGTGATGGCGGCTGGAGAGTTACAGTTGGAGTGGTCCCGACAAGCAGAGATTAAAGAGCAAAGAATGACCCGTGCAGCGCATAGACGCAAGGAAAAGGAACAACAGAGGAAAGAGGCTAAAGAATCTCTTCAAGAAAGTGCTTTGTTGCCGGTGGGAGGAGCAAGACCTAAGAGTTCTGCGGCACATTCTTCAATGGCAGATCTTCAAGCAGTCTTCTCCAGGCTTCTGGTTAAGGGAGATGGTAAAGCTCCTGACTTGGAATGTTAACGGCCTTAATTCCCCCCAGAAGAGAAAGAAAATCTTTCATTATTTAAAGCAACATAATAATGATATTATTTGTTTGCAGGAAACACATATTATACCTAAAGATCAAAAATATTTAGTCAATTCTCGTTTGGGATCTCATTTTGTATCTTCTGCTCCTGGGAAAAAAGGGGGTATAGTTATTTACATCAAGCAAAACTTATCAGCCTGTTTGGTAGAATCTGATCTTCAAGGGAGATATGTTATGATTGAAGTTGGTTTATATGGTAAGAAAATACTTATAGTGGGATTGTACGCACCAAACCAACAACAGGAACAATTTTATAGATTATTACATCAGAAATTAACTTTGTTGGACTACAGATCTGTGATATTAATGGGTGATTGGAATGGTGTGTTAGATACACAAAGAGACAAAAAAGGATCTTCTACTTCTTTTAAACAGGCTAAATTACCTAAAGCTTTTTTTGATTTGAAAGAGGACTGGGAACTACGTGACTATTGGCGTGAACGCAATCAGGAGGAGAGAGACTTTACTTTCTTTTCAGATAGACATTAATCCTTTTCAAGAATTGACTTTTTTTTAATTACAACTGATTTATATTTTAGGGTAAAGAATGTTAAAAATTTTCCTAGGACATTGACGGATCATAGTCCAGTCTGGATGGAGTTGGTTGATGAAAGAGAGGAGAGGAGATCGTGGAGGATGAATGAAAATTTATTTAGACAAGAAAAGAATGTTCAAAAATTAAAGGAGCACTTAAAGGATTATTTTGTTTTAAACATGTATAAGGGAACTTCAATGTCAATGGTATGGGATGCAGGGAAAGCTTTTATGCATGGGATTTTGATACAAATGAATAACGCTCATAGACAAAAGCAGATTCAGAAACGTAAGGAATTGGAAGATGAGATTAAATCAAAAGAAAAATTTTTGATTTCAAATCCCACAGATGAAAAGGTTAAAGAATCTATAAAATTGCTTAAAACACAATTCAATATGTTGATGGCTGATCAAACTGCAACTAACTTACTGTATATGAAACAAAATACATTTTGCAATGCTAACAAACCAGGGAGATGGTTGGCTTATCAATTAAGAAAGAAACAGACAGAGAATTATAGATAAAATAAATTATAATGGTAAATTAGTATATCATAAGGATTTGATTAAGAAATCTTTTTTAGATTATTATCAAAAATTATATAAGAGTACTAAAATACAGGTTTTAGATATAGAAAATTATTTAAATGAAGCCAACTTCCCTAAATTAACAGAAGATTAGAAACAAGAAATTAATGGTTTAGTTACTAGTGAGGAAATTGAGACAGTGATTAAAGAATTAAAATTAGGTAAAGCACCGGGTACGGATGGTTTGACATCTATTTATTATAAAACCTTGGTGCAAGAGATGATTCAACCTTTAAGAGAACTTTTTAACAATATATTATAGGGTTTAGAGATTCCCCCGTCATGGGGTAGAGCTTTTATATCTTTAATCCCAAAAGAAGATCAGGATCTTACTTTACCAAAGAATTACAGACCTATATCTCTTTTAAATGTAGATTATAAGATTTTTGCAAAAATTTTGGCTAATAGGCTTATGAGGGTTTTGCATCAGGTTATACATAAGGATCAAACGGGTTTTATAACTGGAAGGTACATGAAGAATAATGTCAGACAAATTATTAATTTATTAGAATACTTAGACAAAAATAATCAAGTTCCTGCAGGACTGATATTTTTAGATGCTGAAAAAGCTTTTGATCAATTGAATTGGCAATTTATGTTAAGATTAATTGAGAAAATGAATTTTGGAGAAAAATTTTTACAAGCTTTTGGTCTTATTTATCAAAAACAAACGGCACAACTTATTGTTAATGGGGGTTTATCAGAGGTCTTTACAATTGAAAAGGGGACTAGACAGGGATGTCCATTGTCACCACTGTTATTTGTTTTAACTTTGGAAATATTGTTGATTAAAATTCGAGAATCACAGGAAATAAAAGGAATAGAAGTTAATAAAAAAGAATATAAATTAAGAGCTTTTACAGATGACTTAGTGGTCACCCTGTCCCAACCCACTTATTCTATAGTAGAGTTATTACAATTGATATACCAATATGGACGGGTGTCGGGTTTTAAAATTAATAACAATAAGACTAAAATATTACCTAAAAATATGACCATTTTGGATAAGCAGACTTTGGTTAAGTTGACAGATTTTGAGGTTGTTGACAAGGTAAAATATTTGGGGGTTACTTTATCTGTTTCCAATGCAAAATTGTACAAAAATAATTATGAAAGGTTATGGGTCAGGATACAAAGAGACTTGAAAAATTGGGAGAAATTGCAATTATCCCTTTTGGGAAGAATTGCGGTGATTAAAATGAATGTCCTGCCAAAGTTTCTTTTTTTGTTTCAAATGATACCTATTTTAAAGAATGAGATTAATTTAAATGAATGGCAGAAAGGTATCAATAAGTTTATTTGGGCGGGGAAAAAACCAAGAGTAAAACTTAAAATAATACAAGACATTCGCGAGAGAGGTGGACTTAAGGTACCGAATTTGAAATTGTACTACGATGCGGTGGTTTTAACATTAATTAGTGATTGGGTTAATTTAACAAATGTAGAAATACTCCTTTTGGAGGGTTGGGATTTACTTTTTGGATGGCATACCTATTTAATTTTTAATAAAAAAGTTGATAGGGTTTTTAAATCTCATATTATAAGGATTTCTCGATTTCGGATTTGGAGGAAATATTACAGAAGTGATTTTAAAATTCCATTATGGGCTGTACCCTGGCATGCGATAGAGGGGATAAGGAGAGGAGTTAAGATGGATGGTGTTTCTTATGCACAATTACTTAGATGGGATGGTAAAAACTGGCAGTTAAAATCTTTGGAAAACCTAGCACAAGAAAATATCATATATTCATGGTTTCAGTATAGACAAATAGTGGATAGATGGAAGTTAGACTGTAATGTGGGTTTACTTAGAGAAGATGAAAATTTTCTTAAACAAGTAAAAGATCAAAGACGAACTCATATTAAGAGAATTTATGGGGTGCTAGTAGAATTGGATTCAGAGGCAGAATTAATTAAAGAATGTATGATCAAATGGGCACAAAATTTTGGTGAACCAGTTCTACTAGATACCTGGGAAATTATTTGGGTGAGGAATGTCAAATTTACACAAGCCCAGAATTTAAGGGAGAATTTTTATAAAATGTTTTACAGATGGCACCTTGATCCACAAAAAATGTCTCGTATGTATCCTGACTTACAGCCTAAATGTTGGAGATGTGGTTGTTTGGATGCTACTTACTATCATATTTGGTGGTCGTGTAAAAATATAAAAGCCTTTTGGATTAAGATATGGTGGAATATTCAAAGAATTTTTAGAAGGAGGGTAAAATTTACCCCACAATTGTTTTTATTAGGTATTGTTACTGACTGTGATATTAAAGACACAACATTGATGTTAAATTTAATTACAGCCGCAAGGCTGTTAGTAGGGCAATGTTGGAAGAAGGAATCTCTGCCTACTTTGCAAGAGTGGCTTTTTAAAGTTTCTTATTTGGCGGAAATGGCAAAGATTTCGGCTTTCTTGAAGGATCAATCGCAGGAGAAGTATTTTGCGGTATGGAAAAAATGGATAGATTTTATACAATATAAGTTGGATGTTAAAAAATATTATTTAGCTTTTCAATAACTTATATTTAAAATTTAAAATATTTTTTAGATTTTCTTTTTTTTCTTTTTTTATTTTTTTCTTTTAGGTATTATTCTTTTGATAGTTATATTTCTTTATATATATATTATTGTTAATCATCTTATAATTTGTTTAATTAATGTTTTTAGTATTTAGATTTAATTATGGTTTATACTTTTTTTTAGATTATTTGAAGAAATTTTAATTAAGCCTATGTTCAGCTCTGGGAAGCTCGGGGGAGGGAATGGGAGGGTTGGGGAGGTTTGGGGATGGGTTGTTTTGTTTCTGTAAAATTTTAAAAAACTTAATAAATATTTACAAAATAAAAAAATTATTTTAGAAGCAACTTTTAATGATTTGAAGAATTTTCTATATAAATTCACCTTTTTATAATTAGAAACCTACGTAGAACAATCAGGCTTTCCTAATTTTTGCTTATTATTTTGATCCCTTTCAGATAATTTTTGAACCCATTCAGATTATTCCAGTTTTAAAGGGTGGAATTAAACTATTCTACTTTTAGGAGAAAATAGGAAGTTCTTCGTAAAAAATATGAAAAAATTAAAATGTTTAAAATATTTAATTCCATAAAATACATAATAGCAGATTAAGTATTTTACCAAAGTATTCTGGCTTTTTAATGTTTAAATTTTGCTTGATATTATTAGGCTAATCAGGTATCAACTTTTTTATTACTAATTTTTAACTTGCTTTTGTATTTTATTATTAATTAGTCATTTTTGTCATTTTTTAAAAAATTAACATTTTAAAAAGGTCACTTTATATATAAAAAACTTATTTTAAATGTAAATAGTAAATAAAATCTATTGTCACTCTCCACTTTCCCAGTGTCTGCTGAGTAGTTTCTTGTTTAGAGATGAACAAAAGAAATTCTAGCTCAGATAACCTATTTGCATAGGTAGGTACACACACCTCAGGCAACATATCAGCACCTGGCATTCTCAGATCATTTTTCTCATCCCATTTCTCTTCAAAAAACAGTAGACTAAGTAGTACTGCATAATTCCTCTTCCCAACAAATGCTTGCCTCATTGGACTCTATGGGGGAAGTTCCTTGAAGAATATTTTTGTCTAGATTTATGAACTATTGGATGAGGGCACCTGAACACAAACATTTTTGCTTCGACAATATAATAGGGCAGAAAGAGATTGGGCTTTGTATGGGGAATCTTCACAGGAGAGATCCATTAGAAAAATAAGCTATCCCAGGCCTCTGTCAACCCCCCCCCCCAGCTCAGCTGCTCTGCCTCCGATAGCAACAGGGATGCTATTTTATCAAAGAGGCCCAACGGCTTAAATAGTACTGTTTGGGTTACATTTACAAAGAGTGTATGAGAAATGTGGCATCCAAGTGCTTTCCCGTACAATCGAGTGGTCCAGCTACATTGCAAGAATGGGGGGAGGGAAGGAGAAGGAAGGATGTTTTCGATGTACTCTAAATCTGCTTACTCCTCCCCCCTTCCCCTTTCCATGAAACTTGATGAACGGCAGAGGAACCTGGGCAAGCTGGGCTGGAAATGCATGGTAGGAATGGTGCTTCGATGCACGAAATGATGGTCCGTGTCCTGCTCCGACACGATCCCCTCCGGCTGTCCTACGGTCCTCCAGTACTGGCGGCAGCTAAGCGCGCACCGCAGCATCAAGGCGCCCCACGGGGGCTTCGCTCGGCGCATGTCGGGCTACTCAAATCGGAGAGAGAAAAGAAAGGGCGAAATGCCACCCCACCGCAACCGATTCTCGGCGGCACGCGCTCCTCCGAATGGCGGCAAACGGCCAAAGGCGGTAGGAAAGAAGGCCTCCGCCTGGTATCCAAGGCAACCGGAGAACGCGAGAAGCCGTTTCGCTTCTGAGGGGACAGCGCGGGTGCCGAGCGAGGGCGCGATGGTTGCCCTGCTCGCATACCGCTGCGTTGACCCCTGAGCCTTATGGCGGGGCGCGGCGTTTGAAGAAGCGCTGGCTGGCTGCGCTTTATTGCTAAATTATTTAAAGGGTACCTAACAGACGTGGGAAGCGTCAGAAGTTTTTCCCTCCCCATCGTGTCGTGGGAATAACTGAGAATCCACATCGTCGCCGGTCCCATTTAATGAGACTGTCACCGTTCCTTCCCATCTCTCCCCTAAAGGGGGACATGTATGGGATGGAGTTTATTAAAACACGAGATTTATACTGTGACATGTCTAAAGGATAAGCATTCACTAAATATGCTCCATACCAGGATAGAGTAGGTGGAAGAGCGCGGATGAAGTGTTTGAACATTTTACTTTGACCCCATTTGCGGTTTACATAATATATATCTGGCCGTAAATAGTCATTCTTCAAGGAGTTAAGAAATTTTAACGCTGAAACAACAAGATTGGTTGCTCTAACTACTTGATTATTGTATCCAGGTTTGGGATCAGGATTTAAAGAAATGAAAGGGTTGTAGTTGAAAACAACTGGATCCCTCGAAGAAAGGTACATGTCATACCAGGGCCCTACAAAAATAAAAACAATTCAGTTAACAAAATACAGTTAAACATTTGATATATAAACTTGGAAAACTGCAGTTTGAATAGATGTATTACGGAAAATTAAACAGGTCCCTTCAAATCTGCTTCATTCTTCATTTTTTTTAAATACCAGAAAAGCTGCATTTATTTTTGTAACTTTCTGTAAAACATACAGCCTTTCTTAGTATACAATTTTAAAAGACAAATATTTTTAATATATGTGTCTGAGTATGCTCTTAGTTATGATCTGTGAAGTTAGCAATAAAGAAGCCAAGGAATATAGTGAATGCATAATGTTTAGATTTTTTACTGAGTTCTTCAGTTTGGCTTTTTGTACCATGTAATTGATGTATGGCATATGATCCTCCAGCATTTCCCGAATATAAGAACGTAGCTTGTTATTCATAGCACCAATACAGCATTCTATTTCCATTCTTTTCACAGGATTAAATCAATTCATTTATTTCTTATAAACAATTAAGATTCTAGCACAGCGATTCTCAACCTGTGGGTCACAACCCTTTTGGGGATCGCATGAGCCTTTCACAGGGGTCGCCTAAGACCATCGAAAAACACATATTTCCGATGGTCTTAGGCAGGGCTTGTCAACCGCCTTCTCTTCCCCCCCTCCACTCCACCTCACTTGTTTGTGGAAAATATGCTGCTTGGCGGCAGTCTGCACAAACTCTACCAAATGTGCCCTGCAGGGGGTGCATGAAGAGCGCAGGCACAGAGCAAGGCTCTGCCCTCCCCAGAGACTCATTGTGCAGCAACCGGATTGACTTCTTCTTGTGCACGCAGGTCAGCGAAGGGGAGGCCACCGCAGCACCCAACTCCTGCGCCCGTCAGCTGGCGACCCCCGAACTTGTGCTTGTCAGCCAGGAGGTCTGGCGATGGCCGCCGGTCTCCTTTGCCACCCCGCCCATCCTCCTCTGCCCGTTCATGTCAAGCCCACCGGGGCTTGATAGGGAGAGAAGGAGGAAAGGAGGAAGGGACTCCTCCTCCTCTCCTAAGCTTCAAAGCACGATCGGCTTCCCACGGGCGCCACAATCCTTATGAAAGCAGGGGAGAAGCAAAGGGGGTGAGAAAGCTCATGGCGGGCTCGAAGGAGCACCTGTCAGCGTTGGTGACAAGAAATTCCCCACAAACCCAGGGAAGGGGTGTAGAAAAGGAGCCCCCTTTGGGAGGAAATGCCACCTTCTTCTCCTTGGCTTTGCGCTCTTCTGTTCCTCGGCAGCCAGGCTGCCAAGCCTCTGCTGGCTGGAACTTCCTTTCCTTCCCTCCTTCTTGGTCTCTTCCTCCTTCCCTCCCTTTCCCATTGTCCCTTCCTTCACCTCCCTCTTTGTCCCTCCTTCCCTCCCTCTTTCCCCTTGTCCCTTCCATCCATCCTTCCTTCCTTCCTTCCCTCTTGTCCAGGATCGGGGTGAACCCTATAGCTGATCCGCGCTTCTGCAGAGCAGCCAAAAAGCAGGTCAGCTGTAGCAGCTCTCCTTGGCTCCTGTCCAGCAAACTTGCTCAAGCTTTGCTAGAAAACATGCTGCTTGCTAATTTAGCAGAAGCGCGAATCAGCTGTAGCACGGCGCTGAACCTGGGGCTTCTGCTAACTTAGCAAGTGGCATGTTTTCTGGCAAAGCTGAGCAAGTGAGCTGGGTGGAGTTCTCCTCTGCCTCTGGCAGCTTGTCCCCCTCCCCTTGTCCCTTCCTGGTCATGAAGGGGGGGAGGAAGGAAGGGACGAAGAGGGAGGGAAGTAAGGGACGAAGAGAGAGAGGGGGAAGGAAGGAAGGGACAAAGAGGGAAGGAAGGAAGGAGACAATGTAACACTCTGAACGTTCTGAGCCACTGTGATGTTTCGAATCCATGAGCGTGAAAGTACCAACCCACAAAGCTGTAAGCGCTGCAGCAGGGATGGAAAGGGGAGCCCCTCGCTCTTCCAACTCTCACGCTGCTTAAGGCTTCACGTACGGCAAGCCACCGAGGCCAATTTCCTCCGTGAGAAGAGAACGCTTTCCCTCTGCTCCCCCCATTGCATAACCTATTTTTTAAGCTTAGGATAAAAAAACCTACAGTTTCAAAACAGATACTATGCTTATAAAGCCAGATCATCAAAGACAAATTATATTTGTTCAATACAAATAGTTAGCAAATAAAAAGCTTAAATAATGTAAGTCTGACTCAAGAATAATCAAGAATATTAAAAACAAACCTGATATATAACTTGTATGGTTATTAATCCGATCATGTTCAAGAAGATCACGATGTATGATCTTCCCTTCTCCTTTTCCAAACTCTGTAGCAATTTTTACAGTATGTCTAGAAATTACAAATGGATTATGATTATTATATTGCACTTAAATAGGCATTTAAATTATAATTGTATAATTATAACTACATTTATAATTTATTATTTAATTATAATAAAATATTTTTCCATATATGTTAGTGGTCAGGAACTTTTCCAGATCCTGTGCACAATCATGTGGGAACAAACATATTAAAGTCCATGAAATTGTCCAGTATTGTGAGATTTCAGTGTTTCTAGCTAACCTCAGAAGATTTTGGAAAAATTGTCTTCCACAAAACCGGTCCCTGATGCCAAAAAATGATGGGGATAGCTGTTTAAAGGCATCAGGTTAGAAATTGGGAGACTGTGAGTTGTAGTCCTGCCTTAGGCACAAAGTCAGCTGCTTAGTCTTGGGCCTCAGAAAGTGACAATGGCAAACCACTACTGACAAAAACCTTGCTAAGAAAACTACAGGAATTGGTCCAGGCAGTTTCCAAGAGTTAGACACAATCAAACAGAAGAAGGAAAAAAGTCACATTTACACACTTCAGGCTATACAATACTGCTGTGGATACATACACTCATGCCAAAGATTTCACTGAAAAATTAAAAAATGCCACAATGGAAAAATTACCTAACACTGCCTGTATTTTATATGTAACAATGTAACAATAATCCAAAGAATTTTGGCTTATGTTCATGTGCAGAGCGTTACCTGATCACTTTGTTTGGCTCCCCACGTTAGTCAAAGAAGCTAAAGTAACCAGAACTAAGCAGAAAGAAAAGCTGTAAAATAGAATTTCTGCTCTTGCATTCTACTTAGAAACCAGACTATAGAAACAGTATCTATAGTTAGTTTCTAAGATTGTTGAGGAGACAATTAGTTCACAACTAGTGAAACAAACTAAGTTGGAAAAATTGGGAAAGAAGCAACACTACATTCTTACTGATCATAAATGATAAGACAGAGTTCTATAGAATTTTGACCTAGTGCTATGTATAAATATGCTGTTTAGTCCACTGATTTGATCAATAGCTCTCTAGAGTTCCAGACAATAACTTTGCTCAGTAAATCAGGAGATGTTGAAGACTGTATCTGGAATTTTTTGGGGTGTGTGTGTGCAAAACAATAATTCAGCATTGCCCTATAATTTATCCTTTAGGCGAAACCAGCAAGAGAAAATACACTAAGAAAACAAAGAGTTGACTAAGGTACCAAATACAATATTTACAGAGTAACAAGTATTTTGTATATTTTAATCTATTTATATTTTTTAAAATATAATTGCTATATCTGTTCTTTTATTATACAATTATATAATGTTTTTTCTTATACCTGTATTGTTGATCATTCAATAATGGCTTCTGAGCAGCTAAGTATCTATTGATAGTGTCCTCCAGTTTAGGAATAGGTAACCTGAAAATAGATATCATTAACAAATTATAAATTAGCTTTTTAATATCAGTCCTCTCATCTCATTTATGAACTTAGTTGTCATTTATTTACAGTTTTTTTTGAGGGGCATAATATTAGTTCCATCAAGGAGAATGGCAACAATCCCTTGCTCACAGATGATTACCTTAACCCAGCCTCTAGTCACCTTCCTGGATGTTTTCTCTAACTAGGATAGACAGAGATACAGACTAGATGTAGCAAAGTAATTCAGTACAACCATATGGATGAGTAGCTGTCCCCCCCCATTATTCCAAAACTGAAGCAGCATTTAATAACACGAGTCTTACAATTAAGTTAGACTTATTTGTATTATATGTGTTGTAATATCCTCCCAATAATCAAAAGGTATCCTGGCCATTCCAACACTACTCATCTCCTTAAGGACAAACAGACTGTGATTACAGTGCAGGTGGCCAGATTCTGCGCAGCAGCACTGGAGATTCTCAGAAACATGTGATTAATCCACCATTTTATACAACTAATGCAGCAAACCCTTTTGCGTTACTATTCTTTTGCATTTTAATATTCAATGACCATGAGCCTCACAGTTTGATTGATATTATAGTATAGCTAGGCCATGCTGCATTTTGCTCATGAGTAACTGACAGATTGGATGCCAAATTGTGATGTTAATATAGATTTTATCTCTTATTTATTATTTTATTTTAGAAATTTTTGGCAGATGTTGAGTGTTTTTAATTTGTTCTAGTCTCTGACTGTAATAAACTTACTTAACTTGTGTTGTAATAGATCTTTGAAATAGTAAAGAATTGTTATTTCATAAAATCTAACTTAATAAATCTTAATTATAAAAATAATATCTAGGTTTATTTTTAAACATAGAATCCTTACTGCACTGAGGTTAGTTGTTTGATTGCAGATATTTCTTTACCCAACTAGGTAACATTATTGGTGAAAGTAAGCAGGAGGTTTACTTCCTGATGGGAGTGTGGTTTTTTCCCCCCTTTGGTAGTTCCTTGACTAGGGTATTTTTTTCTACTTGATGTTTGTCTGTTAATCCCTGCTTATCTGAATTTGGACTGCTGGAGACTTGTGTTCTGGTCTTTTTGTTTCCTTCTTAGCTTTTTTAATTTTCTCTTTTGAATATTGTGTAAATATGGTTTATCTCTATGTGTCTACTGATAGCTGATTTGTCAGAATGCCAAGCTTCCAGGAATTCACTAGCATTTTTGAATTTGGCTTGGTCTAACAGTTTCTCAGTTGAAACTGTAGTTGAGTCTCTCCATGTATTGTGAGATTAAAGAGTTTTCATTGTGTCTTCTGTCATTCATGGATGCACTCTGCTAATCGCCCATTCATCTTACACAATGGCTGTTCATACAGTGTATAATGTAGATGACTTCTGTTTTTCTTGGGCAATTGGGTCTTTTGGTTTGCTTAAGATATTTCAGAGTGTTGTGGTTATACTGTGTAGTTATAATAGTCTGTTGGTTGTTTCTGAGATCTTTTTGATGTGTGGTAGTATTGTCCTTTTCATGGCTTGTGCTGGTTGTGCTGTAGTGGGTTGAGCAGTCAGGCACTTTTTGTTAAAGTTCCATAGGTATCCATTTTGTTTGTAGATGTGCTTCCTTTTTTCTAGATTGCTACAATGCATTTATGCTCATCTGAATAATGTTCTTACACAGCAAACAAAGGATGAACCATAGACAGAACACAATACATACAGACAGCCAAAGAATTACTGGAGGACAAAGAAATCTATATCCCCATAAAAACCATCCATTACAGAAACTGGACAATCAGATCAAGAGAACCCTCAATGACCTAACCAAGAAAGGGTAAAATCACAAAAGAACAGTGATAGATGAAAAGCATAAAACAATACCCTAATCAAGGAACTACTAAGGAAAAAAGCATACCTCCATAAGCCAAAACTACTCTAAGCAAATTCCATATTTAATCACACTGATGAGATTGCCTATTTGGGTAATGAAATGTCTGCAAGCAAACAGCCAGGCTCAGAGAGCACAAGAACTTCATAGTTCAACCCTGAGCTACATATAGTTTCTTTTATTAAATTAAGTATTTCCATACTTGATAGATTTGTTCTTAAGTGACTGTCTTCCAAAACTACTTTGCTTCAAACATTTATAAAAATTATTTTAGAAGGACTTCCGGTGGTTAGCGTCGATGGTGGCAGCTACATTGTAGCCGTCCTCCTGGGACAGCGTGAGAACCGCGGAATACAGCAGTCACCAGCTGTTCCGCGGCTCGAAATCTCCCTCCCGGGCGAAGGGAGGGGGGAGAGAACCACCCGAATAGAGGTAGAGCATCTCAAACCCCCCAGGGATTTTTTTGGGGGGGTAGAGAGCTTCCTCGGAGTTCGGGTTGCCTCCGCCTCCCAGCTGTCTTTGTTTCCTTTGGGAAACAAAGTGAAACGCCGCTACCATCTCCGCGTTTAAAGAGACAGGGTGAGTGATTTTTTTTTATATATAAAGCGGACAGAGCTGGATAAAGGATTTGGTTTATTGAGTTTTATTTGCTTTTTAGTTCAGGTTGATCTTTTTCTTTTTGTTTTTTTTGTTCGTGTGGAGAGTGAAAGTAAAATGGCAATTTGAAAGTTTTTTTCGGGGGAAAAAGAAAGTGAGTCAAACGGAATGCTATGGACTATATAGTTTTTTCTTTTTTCTTTTTAAGCTTTTTCCTCTTTTTTTGGAAAGTGGTCCTGTGTTTTTGAAATATCTTTTAAACTCTCCTTTGTTTTTTTTAACTTTTTGAGCATTTTTTTTTACAAAGTGGAAATAAGAAAACAATTTTTTTTTAAAATGGCTTCAAAAAGACAAGCAGCTTCTACAGTTCCTAAGGTGGCTTCTTCTCCTGCGATTTTACCGGTACAACAACCTAAAGCTACACCACCATCTTCTCCTCCTCTGCCAGTAATATCTGTACAAGATATGAAAGATATAATGGGAAATGCAGTAACTCAAATCAGAGGGGAAATGAAGGAGCTTCTAGATCAGAATAAAACTGAAATTAGAGGGGAAGTGAAGAATCTGTTGGAGCAGAATAACACCATTTTGAGGCAAGATATAGTTATGGCTCTATCAGGTCTTGCTTCTGTGGTTGAGAAGCTTGACTCTAGAGTTGAAGAGGTTGCAGACAAGGTTGACATCTTGGAAGATAGATTTGAAGGCATGGAAAAAAAGATGGAAATTTCACAGGATGACATTGTTATGTCTCAGTACAGAGAAATGGAATATGCCTTAAGAATTAGGGGTCTCAAAGAAGATATGCAGCAAGACCTGAGAGAGATTGTGGTAAATGACTTTGCTGTTATTTTGAATAGGGAGAAAGAGGAAATACGCAGAGAGGTTGAAAAATTATTCAGAGTTAACTCCTGGATTGCAAAACAGAGAAACTTACCAAGAGATGTGGTGGTTTATTTTGGAAAGAGATCTCTGCGCAATGAAATCATACAAGCCTTTTATAATAAGAGATTCCAGATTGCTGCTCAAGATATTATTATTTTAAAGGAGATCCCATCTAAAATTCTAAGAAAGAGAAAAGACTTTGCTTTCTTATCTAATGAACTTAAAAAAAGAATGATGCCATTCAGATGGGAGATTCCGATGGGTATTGTTCTGAGCCATGCGGGGATGCGTTATAGACTTAATACAGTCACTAAAGCAAAGGAGTTTTACAGTTCGGTCCTGGGAGCAGGCTCACCATCATCTATGATGCAGAAAGTTCTGGATGGTAAAGAGGTTGAACAGCAGTCTGAAGGACCAGGTGTGATGGCGGCTGGAGAGTTACAGTTGGAGTGGTCCCGACAAGCAGAGATTAAAGAGCAAAGAATGACCCGTGCAGCGCATAGACGCAAGGAAAAGGAACAACAGAGGAAAGAGGCTAAAGAATCTCTTCAAGAAAGTGCTTTGTTGCCGGTGGGAGGAGCAAGACCTAAGAGTTCTGCGGCACATTCTTCAATGGCAGATCTTCAAGCAGTCTTCTCCAGGCTTCTGGTTAAGGGAGATGGTAAAGCTCCTGACTTGGAATGTTAACGGCCTTAATTCCCCCCAGAAGAGAAAGAAAATCTTTCATTATTTAAAGCAACATAATAATGATATTATTTGTTTGCAGGAAACACATATTATACCTAAAGATCAAAAATATTTAGTCAATTCTCGTTTGGGATCTCATTTTGTATCTTCTGCTCCTGGGAAAAAAGGGGGTATAGTTATTTACATCAAGCAAAACTTATCAGCCTGTTTGGTAGAATCTGATCTTCAAGGGAGATATGTTATGATTGAAGTTGGTTTATATGGTAAGAAAATACTTATAGTGGGATTGTACGCACCAAACCAACAACAGGAACAATTTTATAGATTATTACATCAGAAATTAACTTTGTTGGACTACAGATCTGTGATATTAATGGGTGATTGGAATGGTGTGTTAGATACACAAAGAGACAAAAAAGGATCTTCTACTTCTTTTAAACAGGCTAAATTACCTAAAGCTTTTTTTGATTTGAAAGAGGACTGGGAACTACGTGACTATTGGCGTGAACGCAATCAGGAGGAGAGAGACTTTACTTTCTTTTCAGATAGACATTAATCCTTTTCAAGAATTGACTTTTTTTTAATTACAACTGATTTATATTTTAGGGTAAAGAATGTTAAAAATTTTCCTAGGACATTGACGGATCATAGTCCAGTCTGGATGGAGTTGGTTGATGAAAGAGAGGAGAGGAGATCGTGGAGGATGAATGAAAATTTATTTAGACAAGAAAAGAATGTTCAAAAATTAAAGGAGCACTTAAAGGATTATTTTGTTTTAAACATGTATAAGGGAACTTCAATGTCAATGGTATGGGATGCAGGGAAAGCTTTTATGCATGGGATTTTGATACAAATGAATAACGCTCATAGACAAAAGCAGATTCAGAAACGTAAGGAATTGGAAGATGAGATTAAATCAAAAGAAAAATTTTTGATTTCAAATCCCACAGATGAAAAGGTTAAAGAATCTATAAAATTGCTTAAAACACAATTCAATATGTTGATGGCTGATCAAACTGCAACTAACTTACTGTATATGAAACAAAATACATTTTGCAATGCTAACAAACCAGGGAGATGGTTGGCTTATCAATTAAGAAAGAAACAGACAGAGAATTATAGATAAAATAAATTATAATGGTAAATTAGTATATCATAAGGATTTGATTAAGAAATCTTTTTTAGATTATTATCAAAAATTATATAAGAGTACTAAAATACAGGTTTTAGATATAGAAAATTATTTAAATGAAGCCAACTTCCCTAAATTAACAGAAGATCAGAAACAAGAAATTAATGGTTTAGTTACTAGTGAGGAAATTGAGACAGTGATTAAAGAATTAAAATTAGGTAAAGCACCGGGTACGGATGGTTTGACATCTATTTATTATAAAACCTTGGTGCAAGAGATGATTCAACCTTTAAGAGAACTTTTTAACAATATATTATAGGGTTTAGAGATTCCCCCGTCATGGGGTAGAGCTTTTATATCTTTAATCCCAAAAGAAGATCAGGATCTTACTTTACCAAAGAATTACAGACCTATATCTCTTTTAAATGTAGATTATAAGATTTTTGCAAAAATTTTGGCTAATAGGCTTATGAGGGTTTTGCATCAGGTTATACATAAGGATCAAACGGGTTTTATAACTGGAAGGTACATGAAGAATAATGTCAGACAAATTATTAATTTATTAGAATACTTAGACAAAAATAATCAAGTTCCTGCAGGACTGATATTTTTAGATGCTGAAAAAGCTTTTGATCAATTGAATTGGCAATTTATGTTAAGATTAATTGAGAAAATGAATTTTGGAGAAAAAATTTTACAAGCTTTTGGTCTTATTTATCAAAAACAAACGGCACAACTTATTGTTAATGGGGGTTTATCAGAGGTCTTTACAATTGAAAAGGGGACTAGACAGGGATGTCCATTGTCACCACTGTTATTTGTTTTAACTTTGGAAATATTGTTGATTAAAATTCGAGAATCACAGGAAATAAAAGGAATAGAAGTTAATAAAAAAGAATATAAATTAAGAGCTTTTACAGATGACTTAGTGGTCACCCTGTCCCAACCCACTTATTCTATAGTAGAGTTATTACAATTGATATACCAATATGGACGGGTGTCGGGTTTTAAAATTAATAACAATAAGACTAAAATATTACCTAAAAATATGACCATTTTGGATAAGCAGACTTTGGTTAAGTTGACAGATTTTGAGGTTGTTGACAAGGTAAAATATTTGGGGGTTACTTTATCTGTTTCCAATGCAAAATTGTACAAAAATAATTATGAAAGGTTATGGGTCAGGATACAAAGAGACTTGAAAAATTGGGAGAAATTGCAATTATCCCTTTTGGGAAGAATTGCGGTGATTAAAATGAATGTCCTGCCAAAGTTTCTTTTTTTGTTTCAAATGATACCTATTTTAAAGAATGAGATTAATTTAAATGAATGGCAGAAAGGTATCAATAAGTTTATTTGGGCGGGGAAAAAACCAAGAGTAAAACTTAAAATAATACAAGACATTCGCGAGAGAGGTGGACTTAAGGTACCGAATTTGAAATTGTACTACGATGCGGTGGTTTTAACATTAATTAGTGATTGGGTTAATTTAACAAATGTAGAAATACTCCTTTTGGAGGGTTGGGATTTACTTTTTGGATGGCATACCTATTTAATTTTTAATAAAAAAGTTGATAGGGTTTTTAAATCTCATATTATAAGGATTTCTCGATTTCGGATTTGGAGGAAATATTACAGAAGTGATTTTAAAATTCCATTATGGGCTGTACCCTGGCATGCGATAGAGGGGATAAGGAGAGGAGTTAAGATGGATGGTGTTTCTTATGCACAATTACTTAGATGGGATGGTAAAAACTGGCAGTTAAAATCTTTGGAAAACCTAGCACAAGAAAATATCATATATTCATGGTTTCAGTATAGACAAATAGTGGATAGATGGAAGTTAGACTGTAATGTGGGTTTACTTAGAGAAGATGAAAATTTTCTTAAACAAGTAAAAGATCAAAGACGAACTCATATTAAGAGAATTTATGGGGTGCTAGTAGAATTGGATTCAGAGGCAGAATTAATTAAAGAATGTATGATCAAATGGGCACAAAATTTTGGTGAACCAGTTCTACTAGATACCTGGGAAATTATTTGGGTGAGGAATGTCAAATTTACACAAGCCCAGAATTTAAGGGAGAATTTTTATAAAATGTTTTACAGATGGCACCTTGATCCACAAAAAATGTCTCGTATGTATCCTGACTTACAGCCTAAATGTTGGAGATGTGGTTGTTTGGATGCTACTTACTATCATATTTGGTGGTCGTGTAAAAATATAAAAGCCTTTTGGATTAAGATATGGTGGAATATTCAAAGAATTTTTAGAAGGAGGGTAAAATTTACCCCACAATTGTTTTATTAGGTATTGTTACTGACTGTGATATTAAAGACACAACATTGATGTTAAATTTAATTACAGCCGCAACGCTGTTAGTAGGGCAATGTTGGAAGAAGGAATCTCTGCCTACTTTGCAAGAGTGGCTTTTTAAAGTTTCTTATTTGGCGGAAATGGCAAAGATTTCGGCTTTCTTGAAGGATCAATCGCAGGAGAAGTATTTTGCGGTATGGAAAAAATGGATAGATTTTATACAATATAAGTTGGATGTTAAAAAATATTATTTAGCTTTTCAATAACTTATATTTAAAATTTAAAATATTTTTTAGATTTTCTTTTTTTTCTTTTTTTATTTTTTTCTTTTAGGTATTATTCTTTTGATAGTTATATTTCTTTATATATATATTATTGTTAATCATCTTATAATTTGTTTAATTAATGTTTTTAGTATTTAGATTTAATTATGGTTTATACTTTTTTTTAGATTATTTGAAGAAATTTTAATTAAGCCTATGTTCAGCTCTGGGAAGCTCGGGGGAGGGAATGGGAGGGTTGGGGAGGTTTGGGGATGGGTTGTTTTGTTTCTGTAAAATTTTAAAAAACTTAATAAATATTTACAAAATAAAAAAATTATTTTAGAAGCAACTTTTAATGATTTGAAGAATTTTCTATATAAATTCACCTTTTTATAATTAGAAACCTACGTAGAACAATCAGGCTTTCCTAATTTTTGCTTATTATTTTGATCCCTTTCAGATAATTTTTGAACCCATTCAGATTATTCCAGTTTTAAAGGGTGGAATTAAACTATTCTACTTTTAGGAGAAAATAGGAAGTTCTTCGTAAAAAATATGAAAAAATTAAAATGTTTAAAATATTTAATTCCATAAAATACATAATAGCAGATTAAGTATTTTACCAAAGTATTCTGGCTTTTTAATGTTTAAATTTTGCTTGATATTATTAGGCTAATCAGGTATCAACTTTTTTATTACTAATTTTTAACTTGCTTTTGTATTTTATTATTAATTAGTCATTTTTGTCATTTTTTAAAAAATTAACATTTTAAAAAGGTCACTTTATATATAAAAAACTTATTTTAAATGTAAATAGTAAATAAAATCTATTGTCACTCTCCACTTTCCCAGTGTCTGCTGAGTAGTTTCTTGTTTAGAGATGAACAAAAGAAATTCTAGCTCAGATAACCTATTTGCATAGGTAGGTACACACACCTCAGGCAACATATCAGCACCTGGCATTCTCAGATCATTTTTCTCATCCCATTTCTCTTCAAAAAACAGTAGACTAAGTAGTACTGCATAATTCCTCTTCCCAACAAATGCTTGCCTCATTGGACTCTATGGGGGAAGTTCCTTGAAGAATATTTTTGTCTAGATTTATGAACTATTGGATGAGGGCACCTGAACACAAACATTTTTGCTTCGACAATATAATAGGGCAGAAAGAGATTGGGCTTTGTATGGGGAATCTTCACAGGAGAGATCCATTAGAAAAATAAGCTATCCCAGGCCTCTGTCAACCCCCCCCCCCAGCTCAGCTGCTCTGCCTCCGATAGCAACAGGGATGCTATTTTATCAAAGAGGCCCAACGGCTTAAATAGTACTGTTTGGGTTACATTTACAAAGAGTGTATGAGAAATGTGGCATCCAAGTGCTTTCCCGTACAATCGAGTGGTCCAGCTACATTGCAAGAATGGGGGGAGGGAAGGAGAAGGAAGGATGTTTTCGATGTACTCTAAATCTGCTTACTCCTCCCCCCTTCCCCTTTCCATGAAACTTGATGAACGGCAGAGGAACCTGGGCAAGCTGGGCTGGAAATGCATGGTAGGAATGGTGCTTCGATGCACGAAATGATGGTCCGTGTCCTGCTCCGACACGATCCCCTCCGGCTGTCCTACGGTCCTCCAGTACTGGCGGCAGCTAAGCGCGCACCGCAGCATCAAGGCGCCCCACGGGGGCTTCGCTCGGCGCATGTCGGGCTACTCAAATCGGAGAGAGAAAAGAAAGGGCGAAATGCCACCCCACCGCAACCGATTCTCGGCGGCACGCGCTCCTCCGAATGGCGGCAAACGGCCAAAGGCGGTAGGAAAGAAGGCCTCCGCCTGGTATCCAAGGCAACCGGAGAACGCGAGAAGCCGTTTCGCTTCTGAGGGGACAGCGCGGGTGCCGAGCGAGGGCGCGATGGTTGCCCTGCTCGCATACCGCTGCGTTGACCCCTGAGCCTTATGGCGGGGCGCGGCGTTTGAAGAAGCGCTGGCTGGCTGCGCTTTATTGCTAAATTATTTAAAGGGTACCTAACAGACGTGGGAAGCGTCAGAAGTTTTTCCCTCCCCATCGTGTCGTGGGAATAACTGAGAATCCACATCGTCGCCGGTCCCATTTAATGAGACTGTCACCGTTCCTTCCCATCTCTCCCCTAAAGGGGGACATGTATGGGATGGAGTTTATTAAAACACGATCTATAATTTGAAAATAACAAGAAAATAAAGCTTTGTATATGTTCATTTTTTTTAAAAAAAAAATACCGATAGAATTTCCTAAAGCTGTTTTTTTTTCCCGGTAGGTTATCAAATGCTTTGAGATGTATACTCTTAAATATACGTGACTCAAAATACTAAATATGCCGTATTTGGAAATAGAATAAAAATTCCAATTCAATTTTTCTTGCTTTTTAAACAATGGAAGTGGGGCAGTGATTAATTTCTATCTAAAGTATTTCACCTACCATGAAAAGAAGTGTTGCTGGAAATTAGGCAACATATAAATCATTATTACTATTAATAATAATCAGGCAGATTTTTTAATGCTTCATCTTCCTAAGTAAAGTCACAGGAAAAAATTATTTCTATGATTCTAATTTATCTGATAGGATTACTTTGTAGTCAGTGTTAAAAGCCGTTGGCATTGTCATTATTTTCTGGGGTGGATGGAGGGAGGGAAAGTCTAGCAATCACTTTCCCATTAAAATCTAATTAATGAAAAGCATTTTGCCCCACAAAATTTCCCCAACTCTAGATCAGTAATACCGGTATTCATTACATATGAGTCATTCTTGCAACAAATTATGGTCACAATTCTGCAATAGTCAGATATTATATTAAACATTAAACATGTTTGACATAATTGCAATGTCAGAGGCATCTGATTTTGAATGAAGAGATTTAAAGTGAAATGCAGCAGCACTGTTGTGATTTAGACATTGATATTTTGTGCCTTTCCATTTTTGGGATTTCAAAATGATTTTTCTTTATTTCATAGGATCCTCTTTAAATACTGAAAGTAGTTAATAAATATGTTGCTAGTAGATTTGTTTTAGAATCTCAAAGTATTTTTATATTCAAACAAAGAAAATAGAAGATTGCTATTTTCTCCATGAGTTTGATTTTATCATATACATTTCTTAAAAAAATGCTTTCTGGTCCTTAGTTTTGCTGTGATGAAAGAGAAACTGTGAGTTCCATTTTGACATCTTGCTTTATCACTGTAATATAGTCCCTGAGAGAGATCACAATGATGTTTGTTTAGGTCATAAATCTATATTCTAGGCTGGAATATTATCTCAAATGTGTTATCAGGCTGGGAAATAATATATATTGTTATGACACTTATTTTTAGAATTGAATTATCAGAATAAGATTAATGTGCATGTTTAGGCTTTTGTTTTATATGCTGTATTTTGACTATAGCTTGACTCCCTTATTCAAGAGGTCTGGGAATAAGATACTAGTGGGTGGTTAAATATTTATAATAAAAACTAAGCTATAGGTAGTCCTTGTTTAGCAACTGATTCATTCACAGCTCAACAATGATGAAAAAGTAACTTTGCAACCAGTTCTTGCATTTACAACTTGGTTTGTAAAGCAAGGCAAAAGTAAGAATAAGTACAGTCGCAGTTTCACTTAGTGACCACTTAGCTCAACATCTGGTTAATTATGGTTGTTAAACTACTTATACAACAATAAAGGATATCAGATTAGGCAGATTTATAGCGGTTAATTTACATTACTAAGGAAAAAAACTTAATTTAAATAATTTACATTGGTTTCTACTAGAAATTCATATAATTTTGAGCAGACATGCATATTAATATTTTTAATAAAACATACTGGCTTGCAACAAACAATCTTCATTTAATTTTATTGCTTTTAATGCCTTTTAGAAGACTAATAAGACTTTATACACAAATATTTTGGGACACTATGCAATGTGTCTTTTTTAATGCTGAGTTCTAACTGCATATCTTTGTTGGCTCTGTCTGTACAATACATGCAAACGTACAAACATGAACTTAAGGCTGTGATTTTTTTTTTTTAACTTCGAAGAGCATTTTCTTGTCTCTAGGAAATTACAGATCCCATTATGGTGAACAAAGATGTCTAGGTTTACTTATAATATACCCTGCTTACAACATCAGCTAGAACAGGGCATGTCATATTGTTAGCCAAGGACCCATAGGAGCCTAAGCCTCCTTAGAGCATTGACAATTGTCCATAGCAACTGACAAAGTTTATCAGTCTGAAATTGCCACAGTTAACTCCCAACTCCAATTGGGTTTAACGGAAAGAAAAAATAAAAGGACCTAAGTACTGAAATAGCGAATAAAGATATATTTCTTTCTCTGTTGAATTCATAGGGGATATAAAGTATAATAATGATAACTGCAGGTTCTTTGCTCCATCTGAAGAAACTTTCCAGAAACTTTTGAGAATATTTAGTGTGTAAAACAGTATTTTTCCAGAATTTGTTTTACAAAAGTGGACCAAAAACAAACTACTGCACTATGAGTCATCTTTAATTGGAGTTATTTTATTAACATTTATGTTTTTTAGAATTTCAGAAGTCCTTTCATAAAAAATACTTAATTCCTCCCTTAATTCCTCATGTTATGTTTCTGCCCTGCAACAGTCAGTATACATTGCATATTCTTAGTACTTACTGGGCTGTTTTGAGTTACCAGATTTTCTCCTCTACATTTGTTTTTGTACTTTGCAACCCCAATTTTGCCAGTATTTACCTCTTGTGCTACAGAGTGGTGCGTTGGTTGCACAATGACAGTAGGTTGAATAATATATATGCTCTATATACTATGCTAAATTCATTAAATTAAGCAAGTTAATTTCTAAATAACAGATTATATTTGAGATTTTGGAAAATAAATTAATTAAAAAAGCAGCAATGGCTTTTATTGTCTGTTAAAGTTACTGTAAACCTAACTTGTTTTACATTTCAAGAGCAAATAACTGTACTTCAACAATTTGGAAAAAAATGAAATAATGTTGCATATTTCCCCCCATTTTAGCAGATTTAACTACTATACTGAAAATATAAGAAAGCTCTTTTCTTTTCTATTTCATGTAAACATCAGAATTTGTAATTGAAATACTCTCTTAGGAGTTTTGTTGACAATGATATTTCTATAATATTGTTAATTTATAGAAGGATCCAGGGCAGGGCAAATACTGTAATTAAAATGCTCATTTTTTTTTCTTTTTCAAAATGACATTTGGTTTTTACTGATTACAGTGAATGAGGAAATGGGGAAATCATTGCAAACTTTTTGAAATTTTAAGATTAAGTAAAAATTAATGTTAGCCTGCTAGTTGATAATAAACAGCACAATGTGAAATCTGAAAGGTTTTGTATTCCTGCTGTTTTAAAAACTGCTACTGTCTTGTGCAAGTGGAAAGAATTTTAAATTGGGAACATTTCTTTTCTAGAATGTTGACATCTCTCTTAACTTGATCTGCCTGATTTCTTGCATATGGCAACTCTGGAAGTGGATTGGCTGCCAGTGAGCTCATGGATTTATTATGCATCTTTTTTTCAGCAGCAGCAATATACCACGAAGTCTCCTTCTGTTCAGTGAGATGTTACCATTCCCCAAGCTGTAGTTTATGTGTGTGCGTTTCACCTGATTGTATCAGGCTTTGCGGAAATATAGAGCGCTCTTCCTTTTGCGGATATTAATATTCTTTGTTGGTAGTGTATACTGACGTCACGAGGCAATGGCTGAGCTTGAGGCTGGTAGTTGCTGAGTTTATGTGCTAATTTCATCTTCAGCACAGCAAGCAAGCTATTGTCACGAGCTAACCCTCTTTCTGGCTTACAGAGACAAGATTGCTCAACAAGACATGAACGGAAACTCCCCAGAGCTACCGCGATTGCGACTAGGTGAATGAAACAGCCTCAGGAAATGGAGGAAGAATAAATTCAAACGGCTTTGGATTTGTAATGAAAGCAGTTTTTGTGGAGTTCCAAGGAAATTTGCTTTCGTGCTTCTGGATTTAAAATCATGTATGTTGATTATTGTTTGTTCTTTTAGCGTTAGGCATCCACTAAAATCAAATATACCGGTATCTGTGTGTCTATGTTTATATCAGTGTATACCGGTCTGTATATCTATATATAATTTGGTTTTCCTATTTTCCTCGCCCTACATTTTCTTAATTTTGTCTTAGTAAATGTTTAATGCAACACATTGAAATGTTATTTATTTGTAGGTCTGTTCACATTGTAGCCTTTGGGAATGAAAGAGATGGATTTTCCGAGGATGATCAGCAGAAGAGTTTGATCTGGACTTATCTTGGGAGAAGTGCTTTAGTTTCAGAGACTGACAGTAATTTGTTATTAAACTCTGCCAGTTACCTTAGAAATCCTGCATTCACCGAGTATCAAGCTTGTGTGTTTGGAAATGTCAGATTGGTGATACATGACTGTCCTCTCTGGGTAAGAGAATGTAGTAAAAAAAAAAAAGTTACAGATCAGTTTTAAACATGTCTACTCTGAAATATCTAGGTCTCAAAGTATTCCATTAGGCTTATTTCACTGCAATCACATGTAGAATTGTAGTTTTATTATAATCTGGGCCAAGTGCTAAACTAGTATTCAGGTGTTAATATGTTAAATTGGATAAAAAAGAGAGTTAATTTTTTAAGATTGCTCCCAGTTGAATATATTTTGTGTTATCTTTCAAATTTAAAATATAAAAGAAGCATTTTTATTTCTACATTGAAACAGTTTTGTGTCATAGAATAAAACTCTTTTTATTGAAACCAATATTGTTTTGGAGTGTTAAATTTCAATTAAGACCTTTTTCTAAAAGCAAATTAACTTTCAGCTTACAATATTTATATTCCATGAATGTCAACTTATAAAAATTAGCACTTTTCTTTTTCTTAATTAATCATGCAAAAAATAGCTTTTAGTGATGTTTCTGGTGTTAGTATTAGAAGTCTTATAAGTAACTAGATTCATATCTTTATGTGAGATTTTGAGTGATTTATATGGAGGTGAATAAATAACTTGCAGTTTAAATTTTAAATACAAGAAATAAATCCCATATCTGAAATAACAGAGCTAAATTTCTATGAAAGTCTATCAGTATTGTCAGATGATGTTGGTAGTATAATCCATACAAGTGAAATAGAAAAATTATGTTATCTATTATTGTTGATAGATAACATATTTTTAATAGGTTCCATCTCCTGAAACTATCTGATGGTTGTGGACAATATTCCTTGGGTTTTAATTTTAAATAAGAAAATAATCCTTTACAATGTAAATAATATGCTTCCAATCTGTGACATAAAAAGGTTAAGGGTGAGTGTATAACTATTTTTAGAATACTGGGACAGCACAGCAGAAGTAGCCACTACTTGCAGGGTGATCAGGAGAACTAAGAAAGTAAGCTAAACAAGAAGGATAGGTAATGAGAAAGTTCTTATCATTCTCACCACAGTGTTGTGTTTCACATTGTTGTCACAGACATTATTGAATAGTAGACTTATATAACACTACAGCATTGTAC